TTCAACAGTGTCAAGGGGGATATTTAGGGGAGAGGAGTTGTTTACAGAATTCAAATAAGTGATGTTTTGAACTGAATCAACCCAGACCAAAATTAATGTTCCAGTTTCTACAAGTGTCTCATTTTTGATTTGGAAATTTCCTTGCTTAATCTCTACTCCAATAATGATGATAAAAACTCTTTTTTTACTTAAGACTAGAATTCCTATTCTCCTGTGATTTAAAAAATTTTATTTGAAATAGTTTTTTTATTTTATTAATTACTGTGATAAAAATTACATTGTGCACTTTCTCACTTCTTATTCAATTTTTTTGCACAAAAAGTGGGATCTTGTTAATTAAAAAGTAATACAGGCTTAAGTCTAAATTTCATTTTTATTATTAATAATAAATAAATATAATATAATATAATATAATATATATATATATATATATATATATATATATACCAAAATATATATATATATAAAGGCATGTTCAGGTTTACAGATACAGGGTTCGCTATGATATTACAGTAGGTCATGAGAATTTTTATTTTTCACATTCCTCTATATTTGGCAATTTTGAATTATTTGTAAAGAAAATCCTGTTTCGAAGAATACCCCCCCCCCCCTATCGGCATTCGACAGCAAAGAATTATATTTGCCCCGAGGGGTGTAAAAAGAGGCTGGTTAACACGATTATGACAAATTGCCATCCATTGTAATATTTATAGACCAGCAGATTTGCATTTTAACGTTTCGCATTGTGGTAAACTTTTTGCTAGGGTGTCATATTGTGATTCAAAACAGGCAAACCCTTTTCAGTCTTTAACTCGGCTTTAGAGAAACCTGACACACCTTGGTGTATATTGTATTTATTATTAACACGTAAATTATATAATCTCAGTTAGGAACTTTTGGATAAGATGGATTATAAAGCTTTAATCTACATCTCTATATATCCAAAGTGTAAATGTTTTATTAATGGTTAAATTAAGTGCTCAAACGAATAGTCTATATTTCTTCCATCTTAAAGGGACTGTAAGCGTAATTTAAAGTGATCCTTCATGCGAAGATGGTAACGCCTGATGCACAACGGCACCACTTGACATCACGCTTGTACAGTAAAAAAACGGCGCGAATTAAAAAGATGCTTTAACATAGAACCTATATCTCTTTCACACTCCATAAAGCTTTTTTTTACTTTTTTTTTTAACATTACAAATAATCTACAAGTTTTATTTCCAAAAGTTGTTAGTTCATCATCGAAAAATACTAACAATCCAACACCAATTTTATATTAAATATAGTGTAAACAATAAATATGCAACTTTCCTTTTCCTTTCCTTTTCCTTTTATTTCTATTTTTCTATTTTTTTTAGAATTGGGGGGGAAATATTCCCACAACCTTTACTCTTAGAGGGTTCTAAATATTTTCTCCTGAAACACTTAATTTTGTATGTTTTTGTTATATTTCATAAATGAATAATTTTTCACTTTAATTTTACTTTACAGTTACTTCAAGAGATGAATTAACCACATATTGAATTTGGTTTATTGTAAAGAGATTTACAATGAATAAGTTTGACCTCTTTGTATTTTTTTTTCGAAATTAACCAATCCATTCAAATTTTTTTTTAAAGATTTAGATTAGATTTAGAAACACCCCTGAATTCAGTTTAATACATATTCGAAATAATGACGTAAAATGCATTTATTTGAGATTGATCGCAACTTTTTGCTGCAAATATTCAAATGCAAGTTTAAATCTTTAAATGCACACTTATGCATTTCTAAATTAAATGAAAACAATCTTTGAGAAAGCTGCATAATTTGACACTTCAAAAAACTAAACATTTTAATTTGTCAAGAGCTTTTATTGAGGGTCAGAAAATATATATTTTCCTTTTTTCCATCTAAAATACGTCCTTTTTCGGACCCTCACACGAGTGATGGTTTGTGACCGGTCAAAATTTGAATTTTTTTTTGGCTAAAATAAAAGTTAAATTTATAGATCTTAGAAATCCCTATCTAAATCAGAAAAATCCGCAATCAAAGAGGAGATATTTTTTTAATCTTTAAAACTAGCAAATTCCTTTTTGCCTTTTGTTTTACAATAATTATAATCCTAAATAAATTTGATACAGTTTTTTTTTCAATAGCCATTGGTGGAATAATGAAATTGGTTAGTAGATTAGTTAAAAATTGCGGGAGATTTTTTTAATCTGAAAGAAAAACTGAATTCTTTTCTTTCCCTTATTTTCTGCAGAGATTGAATTAATTAGATAAAACACATCTGTCATTTTATCCATTTTCTAACCTCCCCCCCACCCCACGGTCCTCCCCCGGCCCCTTCTAAATTTACTTTTTTGGAATGTCTTCTTTAAATATAGCAAAATGTTAAAACAAGGGTCTCCTAGCACCAAGACACCTAATCAATATTCCAATGTGCCCCTATCTCGTTGTGACACTCAATTTATAGAATGGCATGTTTAATTCTCAACCGTACCTTTTAAAATTAACATTTAGCTAACCTTCTTCCTGAGCTGAGACATACACAAACAGACAAAAAAATCAGAAATTTTTACTTTTTTAAATAAGATGTTTATTTCTTTAATAACTTTGCTCCATTCAGTCATCAAATCATTCAATCATACTTTTGTTTCCTTTCGTTCATCCTTACCTTTATTAATCATTTTCTTTCAGTCATCCATTCAGTCATCTGTTCAGTCATCCTTTCAGTCATCTGTTCAGTCATCCTTTCAGTCATCCTTTCAGTCATCCTTTCAGTCATTCTTTCAGTCATCCTTTCATTCATCCTTTCAGTCATCCTTTCAGTCTTCCTTTCAGTCTTCCTTTCAGTCATCCTTTCAGTCTTCCTTTCAGTCATCCTTTCAGTCATCCTTTCAGTCATCCTTTCAGGCATCCGTTCAGTCATCCGTTCAGTCATCCTTTCAGTCATCCTTTCAGTCATCATTTCAGTCATCCTTTCAGTCATCCTTTCAGTCATCCTTTCAGTCATCCTTTCAGTCATCCTTTCAGTCTTCCTCTCAGTCTTTCTTTCAGTCTTCCTTTCAGTCATCCTTTTAGTCATCCTTTCAGTCATCCTTTTATTTCTCTACAATCGGACCCCAATCTGGAGTAGACTACCCTATTGTACGCCCAACTTGTTGATTTAATATATTTTGTTTAACGGGGAATTAAGATTGGGGAATTAAATCCCCATTTGTTGAGTTAAGTGTGAATGTAGGAATGAAAAGGATGAGATCAGTAAGAGGGGGGGGGGGTAAGCCAAAATGAATTTATTCCATAAACCTCTTATTTATTTCAAAAGGCTTGGCCGCTTAAGAGTTTTTGTTGAGAGAAGTCTCTAAGTTGTTTAAATGTTATGTTATAGTTAAGAATTTCGACCGAAAACCTGCTATTACTTTGAAACTTTTAAAATAGAACTTTTCAACACGCTACTCTGACTAAACCAAGGATTTTGGGTGCTGTTGGAGCCCCTAAATCTTTTCTATATGGCTGTTAAAATCTATTTATATATTAAAGATTATCCCGAAACCGCTGTGCTTTATCGTGCTTTTGCTATTAAATATATGTTTTTCTTCCGAAATAGCTAGCTTTAACAAAGACGACATCGAAATATATTGCGGGATCCATTTTAGGATAAATTTATGAACGGGAAAAGTAATTGTAAACTGAAATCAATGCAAGCTACTACAATTCATACAATGTTTGTAAAGGGAAAGATTATCAGAATATATTCATTTTGTCCATTCTTAACATGAAACAGAAGACAAATGCATTTTAAGAGTAGTATTGTGACCCCCCCCCCATAACCCCCTAAAATACCCCACCGCGGGGAGGGGGTTAAATTGTGTAAATTTAATTGATATAGTTTATTGTTAATTTTTAATTTCTAATTTTAAGTTTCAGTAACGCATTAAGTGGATGTGACGCACTGGAAATTTCTTTTCGTCAATATTGCGTAATTTAAAGCGTTTTCCTCTTGCAAATATTTGCTTTAATTGCAGGGTCGTCGGGGGTTAACTAATTATTTGCACACATTTCCGGTGTGCGCAAAATTTGGCAGATTTTTGAGTGACTGTATAGTTTTTGCACAATATGACACAACCTAGTCTGATTTTTGAGGAATTCGAAAGGACATGAGTTATTCTGATTTTTTATTTGGATTCTTACTAAACCTTTATCCATACATATAACTCTCTTTCTCTTCGTGTTTTTTTTTTTTGGGGGGGGGGGTAAGGAGGAGAGGCGGATCCAGCATATCATATCAATTAATCTCAGTTTAAACTTACCTCTAATTTCATGGAATAAGGATTTTCTTTTTGTTAATTTTCCCCTTTGTGTGCGGAGTATCGTTAATCTTGCAACGAATGATATCCAATGTGGGCATTTTTAATTTCAGGATCTATGCTTGATCCCTTCATAATAGTTATTCCTCTACGATTATGATGGGATATCGAATATCCGTAGATCTGCAAGACAATAGTTCCGATCTCTGTTGTATAAAGTGTAAATAAGACATTGTGCATATTCATGTAAACAAACATTTGACGTGTAAATACATTCATTCAAATACAAGTTTATTCCTTATAATAATAAAAAGGGACTGTTTTCAATTTTGATTTCATGGTCTTACATATTTTTATCTTAAATTTTAAGAAAAGTTGGTTTCCCAGTTTTGATCCTTTACTGTACTTGAATATTTCTAAGTTTTATTTAATATTGAATTTTTTAATTTCTTTGGTATAGAAAACCAACATCATCTTTATTAACTTCTCTGCTCTACATTCTCTAACTTAATAGCCATGTAGAATTGGATGCAATGAAGGAATTGGGTCTTTGCCAAAAACTCAAATTTTATCATTTCTATATCTTTGCAATCTGATGGCGTAAACGTAGATTATTTAGAAAATTTAGAAAATCAAAGTTTGTGGCAAAGAAAGCCTCAATTTTGGTGGGTTTTCTTTCAAAATTAACATCTTCCAATATTTCAGAATGTGTCCGGTCTGGTTCCGTGGAGAGGAATGGGAACCCTGAGCCTTGTCGTCCACCCCTTCCTCCTAAATTGAACAGGAGTTCAACCAATCTAAACAGGAATTCAACCAATCTAAACAGGAGTTCAACCAATCTAAACACAAGCTCAATTAACTTAAACAAGTCTAATCAGACGCTAAGTGACCTGGACCGCAGCTCATATGACCGTTACTTCAGTAACAGTGACCTTAATAAAAACTTATCTGACCGCGGTCATCTCCCTACATCTGACCGCTGCCTGTCTGACCGAAACCTCTGCTCTGAGAGCTTAAATAAAAATACATTTAATCAGAAACAGAAATTATCCCTTAATTTATCAGGTATAGGAACGGATCACATTCCTTAAAGGGACTGTAAGCTTAATTTCAAGTGAACCTCAAATCTCCATGCAATGATGCAATGATGGCAATGCCCGATTCACGAAGGTACCCTTGAAACCTTTATGTGATCAATAATGTGGAAGATATTCTATTTTTTAAATTTAAGATAATTTCTATATTTTCCTGTACTAAAAATGAGCAATAACTTTTTAAGAAACCACAATTGAAAATAATCAGTTTTCAAAATTATAAACATTGATATCTTATTCATACTTGATCAGAAAAAGCTTTTAAGGGTACCGTTGTGAGTCCGGGCATTGCCATCTTCGCATGCAGAGTCACTTGACATTACGCTTACAGTCCCTTTAAACACAAGTTTTATTATATCTATGCAACCTGTTGTCGTAGACCTGTGATATTTCTAACTATAAAACCAGGTTGCAGGTTCACACCATCAGGTTGCAAAAGTATTGGGATCAGCAAATTAGAGTTTCATGCCTTTGATTTTCAAAATAGATTTTTTAAAATACAAAGTTCTTCTAGCGAGATATTCCTCAAAACAGGAATCGTATGAAATTCTAAATTAAATTTTGCAAGGATGTCTCTACTGTGCACTTTAATGCAGCTGTAACATTGTCTTAAGAATAGATAATGTCACATTTAATGAACAAAAGATTTACAATGGAGAGTTGGTTTGCAACTAATTATGTTTAATTTAGTATTTAATGATACGTTCTGTCATTTTGCCGTTTTAATTGGTGCACTTTTAATTATAAACTTTCCGCTTCCTAACTTCAGAAAAGCGCTTCATTAATATTTAATTCCGAGTTCATCTTTATTAATATTAACTTTTACTTTTCATTTTCGGAGGAAGTTAATGGAGGGAGAGCAGGGGGGGGGTCCAAAAAGTGAAGGGAGGCGGGAGGACGGGATTTAAGAAATGAGAGAACTTTTAATTGTGGATATTGAGATCAATGCTTGATCTCCTCTTTTTATTAATCTCATAGATTTATTTATTTTAAGTTTATATCCAAAAATTCAACCTTAGAGTGGCGTATACAGAATCCCGAATAGCATATCAGATGCCGGGAAATTTGAAATTTTACTCGCCATTTAATAAGAAATGACGATATTAATAGTGTCCACATTGGATATTCAGATTAAACGATCGGGATGAATGGTATCTATTTATTATGTTCCCAGAGGAGGATGGGGGGGGGGGGGGGGGGGGGGGGGGGTATAGGAAATGAAGCGGTTTACATTATCTTAAATTTATTCTTGGCATTGTGTTGAAAAATACAAGGTTTTTAAAATCTTGAATTCTGATCGTTTTTACATGACAGAAACACGGTGGATTCAACCGTTTATATATCTAGGAATAAAAGTTCCAGAGTAATTTTGTAGAAATACATTTCCCACGCATTTAAGGCTCTCGACATGGATTAAACGGAGACATAACAAGGAGAGAGGGGGTATTATAAACCCCCATTTTACCCCCTCCCCTCCCTCCCCCCGGGCCATTATGAAAATCTTGGAAGAAAAGTAGTTGAAACGGTTGCTGCATAAGAATAATATATGTTGGATAATTAGATATAATTAGTGGTGGGTGGAGCGCATTCAATGCTTTGTATAGAATAGAATAGAAAAGGAGTGCGCCGTGAGGGTCAAGTATAGATCAGAACTCATGAATCAGGAACTAGAGACTTAAACATTGAAACATGGAAAAAATAGGAAATTCGGTTTCGATGAACTTAAGAGATATGATCTAAGATATACAATAGGGTTACTATCAAATGTGAAGAATGTAAATAAAGAAGAATCTAAACGAAAAGGGGTTCCAAAACCGATTTTGCCTACAAAACATCCAAAAATAGTTTATTAAGAAATTACCAGTAACTCTTAGTAACCTAGTGGCAGCGCTGGGTTACCAAGATAGTAATTGATATATATAAAAAAGAAATTTGTAAAATAAAGAATGAGGAGGTGAGCCAAAAATGCAAATAAAGGACAAGAATATATAGAAAACATAAAAGTATTTAAAATACTGTTCGATGAAATGAGGGAAGGGTAGGAGACTAAAAAAGAAATATGATAAGAAAAGGATTAAAAATATTAAGTTTGTTTTTACAGCTGGTAGATTTTAAACATATGATAATCACAGTGTTAAAACAAAAAGATGTTTCTGAAAGTATTATCATTTTTAAGTACGAACCTGAAAATGCACGAAAATTATAATCTTTTGATTTTATTAAATGCAATTTCTCCATGTTTTTTATACCCAAACAAACAAAATTTAGATTCTATGAACATAAATTAAGTAATTGCTTACTTGTTCATCCCATTAGTTCGCGTTTTATTAGAATTGAGTTTCCATTTTGTAAAGTCATCTATATATACAAAATATTTTTGAATTTACAATTCTGCATCAAACAAATACAACACACACCAACTTTTCAGTCATGGGGTTTCAGTCTTGCTTTTTTATAGATTCAGTTTTATTAAAATTAAATTGTATTCTACAATCAATCCATATCGTTACATTTTTGATGAACTGTAAACCTTTGATATTTCAAACTTTGAATAATAATAGTTTAAAATATCTAAGGTCCACGAAATTCTGTTGCTAATATATAGGGAAAATCAGACTCAATTCCTTTATCTAAATTATTCATGTAGATAATCTAATATTTGGGTGCATTGTTGTTTAAAAAGCTGAAAATCAAAATGTTAATTCATCATCTTATTGAGGCGGCTTTCTTATATGTTTTATATTAATAAAAAAAACTCAAATCGATCATTTTCTAAAAAAGCTCTGAATGTGTATATTATCCATCCATCTAGGTTATTTCTGCCTTTATTGAAGTAAATATTCAATCAAACCTACAACAATAGGTTAACCTTGTTTGTGTGTGGGGGGGGGGGATCTTTTTAAGAATCTGAAAATCATTAAGCTATTTTTTAATTTTTGAATTCCCAAAATCATGGAAATTAAAATACGACGTTCAGCCATTTTTAAAACAAACTTGTCCGTTAACTTATTAAACCTTTACAAACTTCAGTTAGTTTAGGTGTTTTTTTTTAAATAATATATTTCCTGAGCATGTTTTAAAATTTCAATAAACTGCCATGTTTATTGAAACATTTTAGTTTCCTGGATCCATGTCAACCAAAACCTGTCAAATCAAATCAACTTTTTGCTCTCAAAACACAAGTCTCAACTCTTGAAAATTGAGAAAATATTTAAAGTTTCCTAATCTTTGAATGGTTCATCAAATTTAGCATCAAATATGCAAAATAACAACAACAAGAAATTAGAGCATTTTACAGTTGTTCGAAAAAGTCAGAAAATTCGGATTTATTGTTTCCAGAGCGTATCCAGGATCCGGATCCCTGCATATCCGCATGGAAATGATATGGATCCTAAGCACGTGAATTTGTTATTAATCTATTCTTCTGTTTCTGAAACTGTTATATTTTGTTTGTCCCCAGGGGTGGTCGGACTCTTGACTGATGACTTTATGTATACAGAGTGAATAAATTTGAGATGTTGGCTGTATCCTCTGTATCCCCTGTATCTAACCAGGATAAAGATACAAGAAACCTTTGGTTCTACAAGGTATTAAAGGGACTGTCTATGTAATTTCAAGTTAACCCCATTTAAAGAGTTAAATTAAAATGGTAAACTACTAACTTCTATTTTATCGGAGCAGCAAGGTGTCTTTGCTGCTTAGGAAGTTCTTAATTTTATTGTTATTGTTATTGTTATTGTTATTGTTATTGTTTTTGTTTTTGTTTTTGTTTTTGTTTTTGTTTTTGTTTTTGTTATTGTTATTGTTATTGTTATTGTTATTGTTATTGTTATTGTTATTGTTATTGTTATTGTTATTGTTATTGTTATTGTTATTGTTATTGTTATTGTTATTGTTATTGTTATTGTTATTGCTATTGCTATTGCTATTGCTATTGCTATTGCTATTGCTATTGCTATTGCTATTGTTATTGTTATTGTTTTTGTCTTTGTCTTTGTCTTTGTTTTTGTTTGTTTTAGTGTTAGTGTTAGTGTTAGTGTTAGTGTTAGTGTTAGTGTTAGTGTTAGTGTTAGTGTTAGTGTTAGTGTTAGTGTTAGTGTTAGTGTTTTCTAAAAAATACTTGACAAAAAGAGGATTATTTCAAATGCTTTGCACAAAGACAATTTTCAGAAGCCAATTTATTCGTAATTTAACCACAAGTTTCATACTTCAAGTTTTTGAAAACAAGGTACAGTGGCTTTTCAAAGATGTTTTTAATTTAAAAACTGTTTCAGGATGGATTACGAAGCCCCACTAGTCCGCCCCCTACCTCCGCCAAACTTGTTTTAAACGCCGTGAAGGCGGAGAGAGATAAGTTGACCGGCGGAGGTCAGCAGCCGTCCTGCACATCTACACTAAATATTAGTCCAAAATGTAACAGGTTGGACTTTAAATATTTTATTTTTGGTCTTAGGGGTGGTAATAGTAACCAAACTTTAACCTAACCTTTTGGGCCATGTCCTCTTATTTGATGTTTCCTGATCCAAAAACATATTTTTAAGAAACTTGTGTGGTTTTACCTACAGTGCAGTGTTAGCCACAAAGAATGAGACTTCAGTACGACTGTACCGAATCTGTTCTGTCTGTTTCCTTTTAAAGGGACAGACCGGCTATGTAAGGTTGTTGAACTAAGTATGCAATAATATAATACTTTTTAAAGATATGTAAATTGTAAGTTTGAGCTCATAGTCGACGTTCAAAATCGTACTTTTGGGTGGATACGTTTTCAGGATTGTTTTTTAATTAATAAATAACGACGGCAAGAAATGTAAACAAAATTTTACAGTAAACTAATTGTTGTTTAGGAACAGGTTGAGAAAATAAAAATTAATCTTATCATCGAAAATAAGTAATATTGTTCAATAATTAGTTTCTTTTTTTCTCATTATTCACAAAGATTTTCTGCAGATTTTCTGGAATTATTATTGAAAAGACGACATTTGAAGAATTTAAAGAAATCTGCGAATAAATTCAAAGAAAATAAGGAATTCAATATAATGATGAAAACGAAATGATAGAGTCTAGCATTCATTTATTTACAGATTTTCTTTGAGAAATATGTTCCTGTTCCTAACCATATAATAAGTTTACTGTATAATTTTTGACTTTATTTTTCGTCGTCGTTATTTAATAATTTTAAAAAAACCGATTCTAAAAACGTACCTACCCAAATTCATGATTTTGAACGTCGACTATGCACTCAAACTCAGTAATTATACATCATGTAAAAGTTTTATATGTCTCAAATGAATCCTGAAGAATGTGTCCACAACACTGCATACTACCTTACATAGCCGGTCTGTCCCTTTAAAGTTATATTCATGATTCCCGGCAACCATAAACTTTTTCTTTCTTTCCTAATCATTTAAAAAGCCATTTAAAGACCACATTCAAACATTCAAGGAAGAAGACTTGATTAAAACTTGGGATCGTCATTGACCAAGAGTTCACAATGTACATAAAATAAGTCTACCATGGATAAATAAATAAACATAGATAGCTTATGTACGCAAAATCACCAAGAATCGTACAGTCCGCGAACTCATACTTCTAGGGGTCAAAGTGTAATGATAAGCGGGTTGGTTTTGTGTTTTAATGGATTTCATAGAATAGAGTGTAAAATAACTCCGGGAATGGAACTATTTGAACAACAATATTTCACTAAACAATATATAATATTGACGAGAACTGAAGAAGGACATGAGAAGGACATACTAACTTAAATTTCTCTCTACAGAACTCATGTACACCACAAGTACTCAATGACATAAGAACAGCCAATGTTCACATCCGACCTAGTTAATCTATATAATAGGAATATCTTTAAAACATCTCTGTACATTTTTATCTTCCAAGATGAAAAATGTCGTCTTATGCGCAATCTATCTTTATCAGTGGAAGTCTACCAAATCTGAGAAGAGATTGATTTTTCTGAAATATGATGATCACTGAAAAACCTCTTCAAATTAACGGTTTTAGTTTATAACAAAACAACATTGGACCTTTTAGGTAATTTAGTAACAGTGTTTTTTTCTTTGTTTTTTTTGAGAAAACAATATTGTATTGGGGGGGAGGGGGTAATTTTTAAACAAATTTTAGATTTTTCTCATTTTAATGTTGCAGATTGCCTGGTGAAGTGGGTTGGAACAACTCGGCGAATGGAATGACAAGGAGTATGATTTCTCTTCCTACTCCTAACTCTCCCCAGCACCCTGTAACTAGTGATACAAACATTTATCCTCATCACCCTGTAGCTAGCGATACAAGTAGTCCAATGAGTTCCAGTGTACATGACTCCTTGATTACAAAGAATAGTACTGTACAATCTTTTGTTAGTAATATCAGTCTTACATCTCTTCATGGTGAGAGTAGACTTTCAGGGTCATCTAACCCTGCTCCGACCCCTAACCTTAACCCTGATCAGATCCCAACCCCTACTTTGACTCCAAACCCAACTCCAACCAAACCTTCTACCTCTAAACCTAGTTCTATCCGTCAAAAACCTACTCCTCCCCACCGAACAACTCCAGTAGGAACGCCTACACGTGCTCCGCCTCCTCTGCCACCCAAGCAGGTTGCAGACACGCCCCCTCCCCGGCCTGCTAGTAAGGAGCTGAAGCTGGATGATATATTGAATATGTGTGCAGAATATGAGAAACAAATAGAAGAGGAACAGAGGATAACTCTTAATCAGAGGTTCATTCATTTTCATTCATTTACATTCAATTTTATTCACTTTCCCATTCATTTTCATTCACGTTCTTTCATTTTCATTCATGTTCTTTCATTTTCATTATTTTTCATAAATATTTAATCATTTTCCAATTAATTTTCATTACTTTTCACTCATTCTCACTCATGTTCACTCATTTTCATTCATTTTCACTCATGTTCACTCATTCTCACTCATGTTCACTCATTTTCACTCATTTTCACTCATTTTCACTCATTTTCACTCATTTTCACTCTTTTTCACTCATTTTCACTCATTTTCACTCATTTTGTACTCATTTTCATTCATTTTCAATAATTTTCATTCATTCATTTTCATTAATTTTTACATTTTCACTAATTTTCACTCATTTTCACTTATTTTTATTCACTTTTATGCATTTCCCATTTCATTTCCCATTCATTCCCCATTCTTGTTCACGCATTTCCCCTTTCACTTTGAATTGCAAATAAATTACTACTTTGAATTGAATTAAGATAATTTGATTTTGTTTATATTTTATGTTAATTACTGTATTTATATCTACTCCATAAATTTCTTTAATGTAAAATGCATTTTCGTCTACCCCTGCCAGACCCCCCCACACCCCACCCTACCCTCTACCACTAGTCACCCAGAAATCCCATTATACATGAACTTATTAAATTCTGTAATTTTCAAAATTATTCAGAATATTTGCATTTAATATTTCAAGTAGAATTATTAATGATTTAATTGAATTCATAAATAAGTTCAGGTTCTAACAGATTTTCTTAAACTGTAATTCTGTCACTTAATAAATTCTGCTTTAAGAATCAAGATATTAAAATTGATATTTTAGAAACATTTAACCCTTTTTTTAAAAACATTTTTCCAAAATAGATTGTAATATTTTTTATCTGGTATTTAGTCGCTTTACTTTTAAATTTGTATGGGAATACTGCTTTTTTGGGAACTTAAATTATCCTAAGGATTACAAGCTTACAAGTTTTAGTACAAATTTTTTCTCCGCGGAAATTACGTTCTTCTTCTCGTTAAGGAATAAACATACAAAAATATTCACAATATGTAGATCCTTGTTGGAGAGCGTGCTGCCGGTTTTAACCGGCAGCCCGCCTTTTAACTTGGCTCTTGCCTAGCCCTTTGTTTCATTGAAACATGTGCCATTGACGCCCTGCAAACCATTATGGGGGCACGGTTAGATGACTCCCAAGGGATGATGGTTGACCATTTTATTTATTTATATTTTCAGCAACGATAGCTTTTTGTTAACAGTTCTAATTTTTTTTGTGTTTTTATCTTTTCTGTAATTATCTTTTCTTGTTTCTTTTTTTTTGGTAAAAATTTGTATTTTCTTCATTTATAATTTTAGGGTATTAATCTCTGTTTGTCTGTTTGGGTGTTTGGGTGTCTGTTTGTTTGTTTCTGTGTATGTCCGATCTTGACTCATGAACCTCCTGACCGATTTGCCTCAAATGGGAACAGCAGGAATGTTCTTAGCCTGGTTTAAAGATTTCTAGTTGAGGGGTTGATTTTTATAGGGAATACTCCAGACAAAGCTGGGTTTACATGCTAGTAATCTATAAATCTGCAATTATCTAGCACGCTCAACACATTCACCGTCAACTTCTTACATAGATAATCAGTACTTAGGATCCATTTAATTTATTAAACAAAATATCTAGATAATACATTATTCCATATTAATATAATTAGAGAGAATAAAATGTTATTTGTTGGCTTGAAGCAAGAAAGAAACACAAATCTTTATTTACAAAAATAATTTATTGTAGTTTTTAGTAGAAATGTAAACAAAGTTAGTACTCCTTAGTTTTGTTTATATGACTCACAGAAACTACAGTACACACTTATAAACAAATATAAAGGGGTATCTACTTTCTGGTGGTTTTTTTTGCCTCCAAGGCGGGAAAAATGATTTTAGAAATTAAAAATTCAATTATGAATTTTTATTTCCAACAAAATGAAGTTAGAAATTAAAAATGAAATTTCTGAAAAATAAAGATGAACAATAAACTCTGAAGTGGTAGTGGTTAAGGATTGAGCGCATATTTTAAAGTTCTTTATTAGCTTGGGAACCCAGGGTAGTCATAGTTAGTCCCACCGTTTACCCGCGCTTTGTCGTAAGTTACGATTTTTGCTATTTTTACCGATTAAAGTCGAATCACTGAACTAACAACTTAGAATCTCAAAACCAAGCTAAGAACATTCCTGATACAAATTTGAGGCAAATTAGTCCAGGAGTTCATGAGTTATGATCGGACAAACAAACAAACAGAGATTACAACTTTATATATGAATGATCTGACTAGCCAGACATTTAAAGGAATAAACAATCCGTTTAAAGGCCGTTGTCTAGGTTTTATTTCAAAGTTAATTTATTTTCTGCCAGAACCGCAACCCGAGCAGGAAATGTTGGGGATTTTATTTAAATTAATTAATTCTAATTAAAAATTAATAAATTCTATTTCAGCTTCACATCAACCCCAATCTGTCAAGAGAGACGGAATTCTGCAAGATTACTGGAGAAATGTTCAACCTTCTCCATCCTACAGGTAGGGATGGATTCTTAGAACTTTTTTGAAAAGCGATCTTTTCGTTTTTAAAACGACGAAGAAAAAATGAAAAACGAAACGGTCGTTTTGGAAAAAGATATTTTTTTAACAAATAAGCCGGTCGTTTCATTTCGTAGGTCCTTGTTAATTTTTGACGATTGTGAACGACCTTTTTTAGACAAAATACATATTTTGGTTGGAAACACCCTTGATCAGAAAAATCTAAGATCAAAAATTATTCAGGTTATTTCTCTCAATAATAAAAAACATTTAAGACAACATTCTTAAACTTATCTTCCTGAAAAAAATTGAAAATAATTGTCAGAAAACTCAGATTCATTAGTGAAAATGTTTTTTAAAAAACGGGTTTTTTCATCTGGTTCGTTCGTTGTGACCCATCTTTTCTCTAAAAATCGTTTGAAAATAAAATGAAATGGAAAACAATAGTTTTTTCTATCGTTTTTAAAAACGATTAACAACGCTGCCTTCAGGAGGATACAGGACTCAATATATCTCCCTTCTCCTTGAACCAGTTCCCACTATCTCCAGTATCTCCGTCAACTCAGGATCCATCTCTAGAAGATATTCCTCCCCTCTCCCCTTCATCCACCCTTCAACAGTCAAAAATAAAGGTAAAGTAAAAGATCTATTAAGGAATTGAGTCTTTTCCTCAAACTCAAATGGTCCTATTCCTATGTCTTAACAGTTAACAACCTAAGCTGAAAACTCTTGTGGACTTTATGCCTTTCTTAATAATCACCTCTTTGGGATATCCTTGCTGAGTTCCAACCTATGAGAGTTCTCGCATTGATTGCGCGCAAAACTTCTCGGATACTGGTCTCTCTACACTCTACATTCTTATTGGTTGCAGTTTAAACAATTTCCTTGATAATTTGATATAAATGTAAGAATAAATTAATTGCATAGTTATAGCCACAATTCTTAAGTGTTCAGAGCTGAAAACTTTAGAATGGGATATCCTTAATCCCGATCGTTTAATTAATCTGGAGATTAATAACAAGAGGAGAACAAGCATTATTTAATCTGGAGATTAAGAAAAAGAGGAGATCAAGCATTAATCTCGATATCCACCATTCTAAAGTTTTTAGCTCAGCTCAGATTGTGTAAACCTTTGAATTTCAATTTTGGGTTGCAAGGTTTTAGGGTAGAAAATCAGAGTATGTGGCAAAGACTCAATTCCTTTTCATAGACCCTCCATATTATATATATATATAATATATGCTATTTGCAGTCTTTAAACCTTAATTTAATAAAAATAAGAAAGAAATCGTCGTGTTTCGTTCCTGAAATTGAGATAAATTTTGTCAACATCCTTATTTGTCTTTGCTGCATAAATCCACTAATTATTTTAAAAATAAATTGCCTTTTAAAATTAATTTCAAAATTATATTTTTGCTCAGGCAAAGGTTAAAAGGGTACTGCTGTTTCTAATCTGAAACAGCAACTGTTTAATTGAGGGTTGCTTGAAATTACATGGACAGTCCCTTGAAAGGGATTGTTAAAGTATTATCAAGGACTGTTTTTCAAAGAACAATTTTTAAAACATTGTTGTTTTATTTTGGAAAATTTATAAGTTTTTTAAAGAAAAGAAAAAGAAAATTTTAAAATTCCGATTTTAAAGATGAAGTCTTAATCTTTAAAAAAATATCTACACATGTGCTAATTGCAAGAATGCACAGTGCTAACATACTTATTTGAAAACTTGACAAGATATACCTTTTTCTGCGAATATTTGAGATTGTTGTTTTGAATTTGTTGAAGCGTGGACTCCGTGTTCATTGCATTTTTACGCTTCAACTGATACTAACTAGGGTTTTCAGCCAAAAGTGTAACTCGTTTCGCAAACATTTCGCATTTTTTCCATATCGTTCGCTCGCTAATAATACAAAATTTCGTTTTTATCAGTTTCCTAAAAACTGTGAAATTTTCGCAAAATAAGAAATGCGAAAATGTTGCGGAAAAAAAACAAATGCGAAATTTTGCGAAAAAATACGGAAGAGAAATTATTTATTATGATAAAATAAAACATCTAATACTGAGCTTTCAAAGCAAAGAATTCTACAAGTTTTTTTGCGCAACTAATTGTTGCAGCTATGGTTTTCGCGGATTTTTTTATCGCTAAATTGTTTAACGCAAAATGTCACGAAAAGTATGTTCGCGAAATTTCGCTTTGTTTTCGATTTTTTTTGCTTAATTCATTCTATTAATGGGCTTAGTTAATTGAACTGATCGAGTTAGGTTTTACTTTCAACTCGCTTGTCTTGTAAATGCATACAGTGTTTCCCATTGTGTTCTTCATATATAATATTCATATTATTTATATTTAATGGATTTAAAAAATTTAAGGTTTAAATCTTGTTTCATCAGTTAAAGATTTTGAAATTCTTGTTTAAATTTGAACTCAAAATAGTTAATCAGTTGAATCGGAATCTGCCAACATTTGTAGTTGGTTTAATTTTTAAGAGTTTTTTTAGCACTTCTTTTTTTAGATCTAAATATTTATTTTGTAGCAGAGATTAAGATATTACAATTGTATTACAAGTTTACAACTTTCATAAATGGAAAACTACATTATTTATTTTCTATATAAATGATTCATATGATAGAAACAGATCAGACTTTGAATGCCAGTGCAATATTTCGCAGCTGACTCCCTCGTCATCCATTGCTGAGAAACAACAGAATTTCCTGTAGTTATTAACCAACTGATATTTAATTTGGTTGTCTACTTTATCATATGCTCTCATTGCGTTGTGTCTAACTGGGCAAACTGTACAATCTTTTTCTTCACAGAAAGTAAAAACTGGGTTTGCAATGTTCACAGGTGGTTTTAGTTCGATTTAAAGTTCAGTTTCAGATTCTGGACCAGCTTCAGTCTCAAGTTCAGGTTCAGGCGCAGACTCAGTCTCAGGTTCAGGTTCAGGCGCAGACTCAGCCTCAGGTTCAGGTTCAGGGGCAGACTCAGAATCAGGTTCTGGTTCAGGCGCAGACTCAGTCTCAGGGTCAGGTTCAGGTTCAGGCGCAGACTCAGGATCAAGTTCAGGTTCAGGCGCTGACTCAGGATCAGATTCCTTAGTAACCTTAGGCCTGGAAGGAAGATTGGTGTTAGGTGTTGATGGTGTACATATCCCATCAAGCTGAGGAATAGGAAAGGAAGTGATGGATGGAGATCTAGCTCTTTTCATCTTGGCTTTCCTATCTTCTAGTAGAGGAGGTCTAGCTTCATTCACGGGGTTCCTTACAATCTTCCATGGGCGCCCGATTTCCTGACATGGGGACTTTGACACATCCCGCAAGGGTTGTCTAGCTTCCTTCAGAAGGGACCCCTGAAGGAAGCTAGCACTTCAATCAGCTGCTTTAAATCATTGATCAGAGCTGTTGTAGATTTTGAAGCAGCTGTTTTAGATTTTATATCAGCTGTTTTAGATATTGAATCAGTTGTTTTATAACTTGTTTTAGCTGATTTAAGTAAGATAAATACTTTTCAATGAGTGAATGTTTTGACAATTTAAATTGTTTCTACTGCTCTAAATAGGAATAAGTAATTTAATAAATCCATTAATTTATTTGAGCACGGTCCATAAATCCATAAATCCTTCCTACAATCTGTCATCTTTCTCTCACCCTAGATTAAGATATTTTGTCACGCCTTGCGGGCATACTGAGCTTTTTACCTCACAAATATTGCATTAAATGATAATTTATTTTGTATTTTTATCTCACAACGTCAAAGCAGTTAAAGCACATAATTCTTGGAATTAAAGGGGGGGCATCCTCAATACCCCCCCCCCCCTCACCATTTTTCTCTCTTAAAATGTTGACTGCCGCGAACCAGAAATTTAAGAACTTTTTATTAAATAAAACCCGTGAATAGATGTTTTCAGTCTCATCCTGTACTTAACGTACATCAATGTTTATGAATAGTGTACAGTGAACATTGTACAGTCTACAGTGTACAGTCTACAGTGTACAGTCTACAGAGTACAGTCTACAGAGTACAGTCTACAGAGTACAGTCTACAGTGTACAGTGTACAGTCTACAGTCTACAGTCTACAGTCTACAGTCTACAGTCTACAGTCAACAGTCTACAGTCTACAGTCTACAATCTACAGTCTACAGTCTACAGTGCACAGTGTACACTGTACAGTCTACAGTCTACAATCTACAGTCTACAGTGTACACTGTACAGTGTGTATGTTTCCTGAAAATTATTCCCAGAAGTTATTCCAAATTTGTATTGAAGGAAATGAAGGTTCTAATTTTAGATTGTATTTGCTCTATTACACCACGGCTGGGCATAATTTTATCTTCACAATCATTTCTGGATTATGCAATGGTTTTGTTGGGTTGTTGCAAACTGAAAGAATGTATCTTTGAATAATGAAAGAGCCATCTTCAATCTTCATTTCATCCTGTACTCCCTGGATCAATATCCGCAAATACATACGAATCCGGCGATCCGGATTCATGTGACAAAATTAAATTTTTGCTCCCAAAGTTCTCATTATTATTAAAGTCTTCATATTAATTTAATGATAAATTAAGTTTCTACGATAAAATGAACAAAAAAGGAAAATTGTTGACAATTATAATTTTTTGTAAAACCAAACTTAAAAGGTCTGTTCGCAAAAAATGAAAGGGGGTTAGGCTGAATCCTAATCAAATTCTTATTCGATCCCTACTAACTTTACTTCCATTTGATGCGTCCATAAGGCTAAAATGGTTAAAACCGCTTAATGCGTAGAGCGTAGAGCCCGTGTCAATTCACTTTATTGCATTATTCCACTCAACCCCTATAATCCATATTTTTACTAAACTGATCCATGATCCGGATCCCTGTAAAATAATAAATCCTACACACTGGCTTTCTCTCTTGTTTTAAATTATTTATATGTTAAGAAGGAAAGGGGGGATGGGGGTTGGGGCAAGAGCTGCCAATGCATTTCCAAATTTACAAAGAAAATCATGATTGTTAAAGAATGCATTTCCCCTTGTTCCCTGTTCCCCTGGGAACAGGTATGCTCGGGAGCAGAAGAATTCATGTAAACTCAAACAAAACATAAAACTTGGAATTCAAGCTTGATTGATTGATAAGCTTTATAGGCAGAGGAATAGATAAATTCAGAGGTCTAACCTTTTTTAACTGTGATCCTTCAGAGTACGAGTTGGACCAAATCTGTAAACATAAACCAATCAGAAACCACACACATATTTACTAAGCCAACAAGATGGTATTAAGATGTATGGAACTTAAAGAAATTATAAGCTTTTGTTGTGGAAAGGTTGAGCTAAAGTGAATAAGCTCTAGCTCATACAAAATTTGCAACCTGTTTATTTTTGTACTGGAAATTGTTCTTAATTAAGCTCTCCTTTGTGTAAAAACTGTCAAATTATATGTTAAGACTAACGGTTCTCTGCCCCGGGACGGAAAACGACAACCTTCTCCCGCCCGATCCCTTCCTCCATCCTCCCCACATGTATCCGAGTCTGACCTCTTCTCCTGGGGAGGAGGACGTGGACCAGCTTCCCCGCCCATAGAGGCTGGCAGGGTTGGAGGGCGTGGTCAAACCTCCCCGCCCACTGAGGCAGGTAGCCCTGGTTGCTATTTGACACATCCCTCCGCTTCACCTAGAACTAGAATTAAAACAACAGGTTAGTTTCTCAACAATAACTAAAAAAGAAAATTATATCAAATAATAAAAATTTTAAGAAATTTAAAATGAGCCCTTTGCATATACAACGGTTTCATTTAGACCTTGAACAAAGCGTCCTGAATGAATATATTTAAATTTTTATAATAATCACATCCAAAGAGATTTCTGCATTTTTTTACCAAAAAATAGCAGAAAACATCACGACAATTGAATATCTCTGTCATTGTAAGGGCACTGTCATGAATAGTTTAAGGTAACTTTAATTTGTAAGGTCACTTGCATAGGGTTATCTTCAAAGGATGAGACTGTAAAGACGAACTAAATTTATTTAAATATGTTGACTTCAAGGTTAATTAAAGTCATTGGCCTCAAAAAATATCTTATTGGCAAAGAAAGAAACCAGTTTACAGTTGCAGAGCATCATGAATATAAGAAAATAGACCGTATAAATTCCATTAAGTCGTCTATGAAGTCTCATCCTTAGTGGCTAACCATGTATATATTAACAATCTCTTTAATGCTGGTTGTTGTATAGTTGGAAAAGGATCTCGGGAGAGTTCCGTAGAAACACTTCGCCCTGATACAAGCGCAGCTGCAAATCCAGCGCATACACTAAAAAATGCCGAGCAACTTTCTCCGATCTGTGGTCAGGGTCAAGGGAACAGCTGGTCGGCCAGCACACAGCAGGGTTTTACGGGTACCTGGGAACAGAATCAGATCAGGCAAATATTCCAGGTAATTGATTTGAAATGTTTTTCAGAATAATATATTTTGCACATTCTCAATTTATTTTTTGCAGAGTATATCTGCGAACACATCGGCCACGCAGTTTAGTATAGTAGATTATCAGGTTAGATTATTCTATACTTACAGGGTGTCCCAATAAACATGGGAATTTAGAAACCAGGTGAATATCGTCTTTGATTTCCGATAATTAATAAATGTCCCTCAGTGCATAAAAAAAGATTTAATGTCTAATGAGCTTTCCAAAATGTGATCTCCTTTCTTTGTAACTTTAAAAATGGCGGAGATAATGACAATTTGAAATGTTTTGTTGATTTCTAATAAACTTGAATTTGGGATGTTATAACTGTGAAACTACAAAATTATGTTACGAAAGAAACTCGCATGGAACAAAGAAGATATAGAAGTCGTCATTTAATTCTCATGTTTATTGAGACACCCTGTATAATATGAATTTATATTTTTGATAAAGATTATTGAATAATATTTTATATTTTTGCCTCTTTTTTTGGCCTGGATCTAATCCAATAAAAGTCGAAACTGCTCAACTTCGGCTCCCATATTTTTTTTATTGATAATAATAATAAATATGTTGTCCTTGTTTTTATATAGTATTTTATTTAGTAATACTAAACATAATATACATACATACATACATACTTACTTACGTAATACATATATAACATTAATGATGGTATTTTATTTAGTAATAATAAACATAAAATACATACATACATAATACATATATAACATTAATGATAGCATTTTTTTGTTCAATGATTAGTAAGTCAATCTTTAACATTAAATTACGCATTCCGATAATTTAGTCCTATGCGATGCCATATTTTAATTAGAAATACTGAGATACAGATTGATACAGACAGGGCGGGAATACTTTGTGTATTACAGGGCGGTAATACTTTGTGTACTACAGGGCGGTATTACTTTGTGTACTGCAGGGCGGTAATACTTTGTGTACTGCAGGGCGGTAATACTTTGTGTAAGACAGGGCGGTATTACTTTGTGTACTGCAGGGCGGTAATACTTTGTGTACTGCAGAGCGGTAATACTTTGTGTACTACAGGGTGGTAATACTTTGTGTACTATAGGGCGGTAATACTTTGTGTACTACAGGGCGGTAATACTTTGTGTACAGCAGGGCGGTAATACTTTGTGTACAGCAGGGCGGTAATACTTTGTGTACTGCAGGGCGGTAATACTTTGTGTACTGCTGGGCGGTAATACTTTGTGTACTACAGGGCGGTAATACTTTGTGTACTACAGGGTGGTAATATAAAACTAAACTATGTTTATTACAGGGTGGTATTATAAAACCAAACTAAGTATACTACAGGGTGGTATTATTAAACTTAACTTTGTATATTACAGGGTGGTATTATTAAACCAAACTAAGTTTACTACAGGGTGGTAATATAAAACTCAACTAAGTATATTACAGGGTGGTAATATAAAACTTAACTATGTATATTACAGGGTGGTATTATAAAACCAAACTAAGTATACTACAGGGTGGTATTATTAAACTTAACTATGTATATTACAGGGTGGTATTATTTAACTAAACTATGTATATTACAGGGTGGTATTATAAAACTAAACTATGTTTATTACAGGGTGGTATTATTAAACTCAACCATGTATATTACAGGGCGGTATTATAAAACTAAACTATATATAATACAGGGTGGTAATATAAAACTAAACTAAGTATACTACAGGATGGTATTATTAAACTAAACTATGTTTATTACAGAGCGGTAATATAAAACTAAACTATGAATATTACAGGGTGGTAATTTAAACCTAAACTATACAAGGTGGTATTTAAAACTCAACTATGTTTGTATATTCCAGGGTGGTATTATTAAACTAAGCTATATATAATACAGGGTGGTAATATAAAACTCAACTAAGTATATTACAGGGTGGTATTATTAATCTAAACTATGAATATTACAGGGTGGTATTATAAAACTCAACTATGTATATTACAGGGTGGTATTATAAAACTAAAGTATGAATATTACAGGGTGGTATTATTAAACTGAACTGTGTATATTACAGGGTGGTATTATAAAACTAAACTAAGTATATTAAAGGGTGGTATTATTAAACTAAACTAAGAATATTACAGGGTGGTATTATTTAACTAAACTATGTATATTACAGGGGGATAATATAAAACTAAACTAAGTATATTACAGGGGGGTAATATAAAACTAAACTAAGTATATTACAGGGTGGAAAGGAGGAGCTGGCAGATTGTGATGGGAAGACGAATGAGGAATTGTATGCAGAAGCCAGAGATATTCTAGATCTAGTCGCAGCTAGTCAATCTAACAGGTAAACTGTACTGCACTGTTCTGTACTGTACTGAACATTACACATACTGTACTGTCTGTCTGTACTGTACTGAACATTACATATACTGTATTGTACTGTACTGTACTGTACTTTACTGTACTGAACATTACACATACTGTACTGTACTGTACTGTACTGTACTGTACTGTACTTTACTGCACTACACTGAAAATTACTATACTGGACTGTACTGAACATTACATATACTGTACTGTCTGTCGGTACTGAACTGCACATTACATATAATGTACTGTACTGAACATTACATATACTGTACTGTACTGAACAATACATATACTGTACTGTACTGTACTGAACATTACATATACTGTACTATACTGTACTGAACATTACATATACTGTACTGTACTGTACTGAACATTACATATACCGTACTGCACTGTACTAAACATTACATATCTAGTACTGTACTGTACTGAACATTACATATATTGTACTGTATTGTGCTTCAGTGTTCACATTCTGATCATACAAATGGTAAACAATCTCAATGTGACTATTACCATTTATTCCAAAATCAATGTGTTGGCCTTCTCTTTAAAAATGTTTGCACTATACATACTTTTTCCTTTATCATTAAACTCGTTTACTTTTACCTTTACCAAATTCAATTATGAATTAAAACAATTCATTTTTCGTAATAGGGTTTTAAGAGACTAGCTATATTAAGTATTGCAGTTCCTATAAAATCTACTGATAAAGCAAACTAATCCTATAAACTATAGATAACTGCTGAGCGAGCAAGAAAATGTTCACTGTTGAAAAATGTCTAAATATTGTTTTATAATTTCTCAAATATCAACACTCAGTTGCCCAATATAAATATATATAGAAATATATTGTTTTTGTTTCAGCAAACTTGTAATATGAACCTCGTTGCATGGTGATTCAGAAGTCTTAACGTTTATTATCTATAATTTTTTGTTGGGTTTCAGTTTTAAAAATTAAAGTATATAAGGTTCTTTCTTCCTTTCATGGCTTTTGTATGAAAGCTCATAATCATGTCTAAGCTCATTCCGATCGGACATCTTTGATGTAATTAGTTTCGCGTGGTGGCATTAACGTGATATTCTAAATTTTAAGCAAGCGTTTTTAGCTAACATTTCAAAGTAGCGATGAATATAAAGTGCTGCCATCTAAAATAAATATGATTTTAGGCAATTTTTGATATTTTTGTGACATCAAAAATTTAAGCTCTCGATGGCCTCTATCTAGATATTATAGCTTGTAATCGAATAAACTGAAAAATTTCTTTATTTTTCATTTTTTCTCTTTCTACGTTACGTCTTATTCAATCGGGATTAAAGGGAGTGACCGGCAATTTATGTTAGTTGAACTGAGAATGTAGTACTGTGGAGAATTTTTTTAGAATTCATTTGAGACATACAAAACATTTTACTGAGTTTGAGCGCAAAGTCTACGTTCAAAATCATCCATTTGGGTGGTTACGTTTTGAGAATCGATTTTTTAAAATTATTAAATAACGACGTCGAAAAATATATCTTAAATTCTACAGAAAAATAATTTCTCATTCTTAACAAAGTTGTTTGCAGATTTCTACAAATTTTTCAAATGTCGTCTTTTCAATTGAAATTTTAGAAAGTCTACTGGAAATGTTTGTGAACAATGAGACATTACAAAAACTAATAACTGAATAAGATTACTTATTTCGATGATAAGAGTTAATTTTTATTTTCTTAACCTGTCCCTGAAGACCAATTAGTTTACTATAGAATTTTCGTACATTTTTTGTCCACCCAAATGGAATATTTTGAAAGTCGACTTTGCACTCCACCTTAGTAATTATACATCATTAAAATGAAATCTTAAAATGAATCCTAAAAAATTTCTCCACAGTACTACATTCTCAGTTCAACTACCATACATTAGCGGTCACTCCCTTTAAACTTATATTTATCAAAATACCGAAATCTATTTTGTTTTGTTTATAAGACTAGATTTAAAGAAATTCGACCAAAAATCCCCCTTAATGCAGTATTCAGTGGACTGCATTCTGCATATTATATATTTTGAAATTCAATGCGACATAATCATTATTCTTCGTATACTCCTGATATTGTATCATCAGTGCATTTATATTAAGTTTATCCTCGTAGGACTAGGGATAGGCATCGGTTCTCGATATATTTCAAACAATCAAGTTTTATTTTCAAAATTTATTCCAAATAAAAAAAAATTTTTAGAGAATGTTTTCTTTTGTCTAAAGATGTATTATCTCTCCTTTTTTAATTATATCTTTTGTTACGGTATGATACTTTCATTGTGTGTGTTAAAAGCAATTTATTTTTGAAATTTCATTTTAAATATGCGAAGTATATCAATAAAACCTAATAAATTCCAGCATGACGTGCGGTGGTTTGAAAACGGATTTCAATGGAACCCAAAATCAAATCCCAAAAATAGCCCGACATAAATCTCAATAAGTGTGTATTCCCAAGAAAACTCGTTAACGTTAGAAAATCCCAAAACAAATTCTGAAGAGAATTCCTAAACGAATCCCAATAAGAGATTCCCTAAACTGATTCCCAAAGAGAAGCCCAACTCGAACTCTTTATAGAATCCCAAAACGAAATTCATAGAGATTCCAATAACGAAGCTCAAAGAACAGCTCAAAAACGAATTCTCTGAGAGGATCTAAAAACGAATCTCAAAGAGAATCTCAAACGATGTCCAATCCAATTGTATTTGTTTGTCCAGGGACCCTGATCTGTACAATATGTCCCGGCTAGATGAATCTACTGTATCCAATAATAAAATCATCATAGGTAGGATTAAAGCCTTTATTTTACCCCTTGCATCCGGATCCGTGAATCCGCATACTTTTGCGGATCCAGATACAGAAAGCCAAAATCTCGCGGATCCGGATCCTACGCACTGATTAAAGGGATTGGTATCAAAATTTAAAGTGGATCTCTCATAAATCAACAATTTGCAGTTTTTTCTGAGCTACGAAATTTAAGATATTGTTTTTTTTTTTAAATTATTAAAATATCCATCATTTTAAAATCTTGTTTTAGGAACAGGAATGTTGGGACAAAATAGAAATTCCGAGGTAAACGTGTGGTTTTTTTTACTTTTTAATTATAATTTTATTCATAGTTTAAGTTATTTCTACAAAAACAGTGTTACATTTATTTAAGAATAAAATAAGGCCTAGTCTTTATTTATACTTTTCAGTGCTTTATTTTAAGAATTACATCTGCCTCTGGGGTGGGGAATATTTTTTTATGATCTGGGAAACAAAATGTAAAATTGGACATTTAATGGCATGTTTTTTATTCTTATTTATACTTTTACCCCGAAATTTCATTATTTTCCCCTAGAAATAGTTTACTTTCCTCCATTCAGCGAATAAAACCTTAAAAACATACCTTCTGGANGGAATCAAAGGAAAATAATATTTTAAGAAAATTGTCACTCTGTATCTATAAAAAATAATAAACCAATTTTGAATATATTTTTCCGCAAGGATGGAGGGTTGATTAAACAGCTCCGCGAGGAACGTGATGAAACTATACTAGAACTCAATAGAACAGCTCACGAACTTGCAGAGATAGAACATCAGATTCAGGAGGCGAACAGGTCGGTTTTATAAATAATATTTTTTTAAGCTTAAGGGACTGTCTACGTTATTACAAGGGACCAAATTCATTTAAAGGGACTGTTAACGTTATTACAAGGGACCAAATTCATTTAAAGGGACTGTTAACGTTATTACAAGGGACCAAATTCATTTAAAGGGACTGTTAACGTTATTACAAGGGACCAAATTCATTTAAAGGGACTGTTAACGTTATTACAAGGGACCAAATTCATTTAAAGGGACTGTTAACGTTATTACAAGGGACCAAATTCATTTAAAGGGACTGTTAACTTTATTACAAGGGACCATTCATTTAAAGGGACTGTTAACGTTATTACAAGGGACCATTCATTTAAAGGGACTGTTAACGTTATTACAAGGGACCATTCATTTAAAGGGACTGTTAACGTTATTACAAGGGACCATTCATTTAAAGGGACTGTTAACGTTATTACAAGGGACCATTCATTTAAAGGGACTGTTAACGTTATTACAAGGGACCATTCATTTAAAGGGACTGTTAACGTTATTACAAGGGACCATTCATTTAAAGGGACTGTTAACGTTATTACAAGGGACCATTCATTTAAAGGGACTGTTAACGTTATTACAAGGGACCATTCATTTAAAGGGACTGTTAACGTTATTACAAGGGACCATTCATTTAAAGGGACTGTTAACGTTATTACAAGGGACCATTCATTTAAAGGGACTGTTAACGTTATTACAAGGGACCATTCATTTAAAGGGACTGTTAACGTTATTACAAGGGACCATTCATTTAAAGGGACTGTTAACGTTATTACAAGGGACCATTCATTTAAAGGGACTGTTAACGTTATTACAAGGGACCATTCATTTAAAGGGACTGTCGACGTTATTAATAGGAACCATTCATTCAAAGGGACTGTTAACGTTATTACAAGGGACCATTCATTTTAAGGGACTGTCGACGTTATGACAAGGAACCATTCATTTAAAGAGTTACATACCCGATTCACAACAGTGTCCTTAAATACATGTTTGGAAGAATAGGGAGGAAATTATCGTCATTTTTCTTTCTAGAAATCAATTTTCAAGTGACTGTAACAACTCAATTATCAATTTTCAGATTAAAAAAAAGGCTTTCTCAATCATTTCCATTCAAATGTGAAGGATAAAATGGAGGGTCACATGAAACTACGTATACAACCCTTTAAATGTTACCCTTACTTCTAAGCGATGAACTATGGTACATTTTAAGCAGCAAACTAAACCTTGTATCTATTGCTACACAGACAGGCAAAAACGGCACAAATATTCCCTTTTCAACCGGCTCTGTTCGTTTCTTATGTTTTAATTCTTTACCACTTAGATTTTCAGCTCTGATTTGATTTGATGTTTTGGATTTTTTTCTTTCAATTTTTCAATGTTAACTTCTAATTAGATTCTTCTATATTTTCTGCCTTACTAGAAAAACAAGGTGTGTTGACCACTACTTTATGCTTCAGAAGATTATTTATAAATATTAATCAATCTTCTGAAAGATGAATTTATATCTATGTATGTGTATTAAATTAATAATGTAATGTTATTTATAAATGTTTAGAAGTGTAGATATGGAAAGTTCTCTTCTTGGAGCAGAACTGAGCACTCAGCTAGGAAATATCGAAGAACTTCGAGCGCGCGCAGACCAGCTGCGTGCTTGCGAGGCAAATATGTGCACAAAACTTTCCAAGTGGCGGGAACGAGCTGCTGCAGAAACGGCGGAGGCTCGAGAACGGTTGAATAGTATAGAGGCGGAGTTAGAAAGATTGGAGGCGGAACAGGGGGCAGGGCAGGGGCTACTAGACACTGATAAGGTGAATATTATTCAGACAGTAATAGTCTAAGACAGAGTAATTGACCCAGGCAAAGTTTGAGATCTGGATATTAATAGACACAGACATAGTAATAGATACAGACAGTAATAGACACCCACATAGTAATAGATACAGACATAGTAATAGATACAGACACAGTAATAGATACAGACATAGTAATAGATACAAACACAGTAATAGATACAGACATTACAAACACAGTAAAAGATACAGACAAAGTAATAGACAAAGATAAAGTAATAGACACAGAACAAAGTTATAGACACAGACATAGTAATATTTAGTATACACAGACACAGTAATAGATAGTATATACAGACACAATAATATAGATATTGACACAGTAATAATAAATACAGACACAGTAATAGATATAGACACAGTAATAATAAATACAGACAAAGATAGAGTTATATTCATAGACAAAGTTTTAGACACAGGCACAGGAATATACAGTAAACACAGACACAAGTTAATAGACACAACTGACATTGTCATGCATGGACCAAAACACTAATTCTACTTGTGTCTAGGAACTGGATTTACTGGAAAGGATTAAGATAAGCCATGAACAGCTGGATGCCGAGCGAAGACAATTTGAGGTAATAAACAGATGTTGTAAACATTTCTTGTCGTTCCGATCTTCCTTTTAATTACGAATTAACGTTCGGGGTCTTGTAACCAGTTACAGATTACAAAATCCTTTGCGACATATCATGATTAAGAAAAATAGAAATCATTTAACTGTTTTCTGGTTACCACTGTACAATTGTAGTTTTTTCACCTAATTAACACAAAAATGTTACTTATAACGCAAATATAATTATCAACATTTTTAATTCTTGGTCAGATTTTATATTGTAGATTGATTGATTGATTGATTGATTGATTGATTGACTAATTTTTGATTTATTCATTGATTGATTGATTGATTGATTGACTGGTTTGATTAATAAATTGCTTGATTAATTCATTCATTGATTTAATCATTGATAAATTGAATGCTCAATTGATTGAGTGATTTAATAATTGATAAATTGATTGATTGATTTTTCAGGACCATGAGTTCCAGCAGATGGAGGAGGAGGCTGGGATGGAGGCGGACAGGGAGGAGGTGTTGAGGCAGTTGGAGGAACTGGAGGACAGGATCAGGGAGGTCGAGGTTGAGGTCATGGAGGTCGAGAAACAACAGCAAGAGATTTCTTATAGTCAGGTCAGTAGAATGGGAGAGTATCGGTGGACCGGGGAGGAGGGCGGAGTTTCTTTAATTTTACAAACCACAAGACTGTTGTTTGGATCGAATTTAATAAATATCGAGAAGTTGAACCAGGTATCACCAGTTAAATCACCTCGGAGACATTAGAGAAGTAGTTAAACTTTTCGTTCTTAGTTCAACTATTTAGCACTTTTTATTACATCCGACTTGATTTAGGATAGCATTAAAAAAAATAATATATTACGATGCACTTTTTGTATTGAAACAAACAAGCTCGAACTTAAGCTTCTCCGTTTTCTAAATGTCAAAGTAAATATTAGTTATTGTTGAGGTGGTGGGGGGTTTTATTTAAATATTTTAGAAGTTAATAAACTAAGTTTATGTCCCAAGTGCCAATAAAGTTTCTTCTGAGTAAACTTCTGTGTTCACAACTTGTTCCCTGAACATTTCAAGGGAAGTTTTATTTTATTAAGCTTTTCTATTCTATGTGTAGTGAGTACTCAGTAAAAAATACAGTAAGATATCTTGAAAACTCCTTTTTGATTTGATTTGATTTGATTTGATTTGATTTGATTTGATTTGATTTGATTTGATTTGATTTGATTTGATTTGATTTGATTTGATTTGATTTTTTATTATTAGACTGGAGTAACTTTTATTTTAATATTTAGACTGGAGTTTCTTATATGTTGTTAATTAGACTGGAGTATCTTATATTTTTTTTTATTATGACTGGAGTATCTTATATCTTTTTATTATGACTGGAGTATCTATTTATTATTTAGACTGGAGTATCTTATATTTTATTATTTAAACTGGTTTCTTATATTTTTTTATTTAGACTGGAGTAACTTTTATTTTGATATTTTGACTGGAGTACCTTATATCTCATTATTTAGACTGGAGTATCTTATACTTTTTTTATTATGACTGGAGTATCTTATATCTTATTATTTAGACTAAAGTATTTTATATTTTGATATTTATACTGGAGTATCTTATATTCTATTATTTAGACTGGAGTATCTTATATTTTAAGGTTTAGACGGGAGTATCTTATTTTTTATTATGTAGACTGGAGTACCTTATATTTTATTATTTAGACTGGAGTGTCTTATATTTTAATATTTAGACTGGAGTATCTTATATTTAATTTTTTAGCCTGGAGTATCTTATATTCTAATATTTAGACTGGAGTATCTTATATTTTAATATTTAGACTGGAGTATCTGTGAGTAAACCAGTATATTTAAACAGTGCTGGGAGTGCAGAGGACTCCACAGACTCTACTAGTGATTTACCCCAGGTACTCCTACTCCGGAATCTTTATTACCCGCTGGTACTCCCTCAACCAACTCCTAGTTCTTAATCCTTAATCCTTATTCTTGATTCTTAAACCAAAAGTCTCAACTTAAATCTCTTATATCTTCTTCAGGTTTATTAAGAAACTAAATGTAGCAATGCCCCCCCCCCCCCCAGGATGATTATTATGTATACGCTCCTGACAGTATTAGTGTTGGCTGGGGAAAAGGCTCAATTTCTTTTAGAATGTAATCCAGCTCATCCAGTCTATGCATTTGTATGATGTGACACAAACCATTATATTTTTACAAAACACTTAATTTGGTGTCGAAGAAAAGTGGTGTTTTATTCCAAATGAGTTAATAAGAAACATACGCAATTATTAAAATATACATTTTTTAGTGCATAATAATTACTCAACATGAATACAAGGCATACGTAGCCTTGTCTTCATGATGAGATGATATGTAATTTGTGAATCATGTTTATAGAAATATAAAAACCAGTCAACCCTTACCCCCAACCCAAATGTTGCTCGTCACTCTTCTAGAAAAATTGCGTTAAAAAATATTCATTCATGATTTTTTATTGAAAACTTTAATTGCGTATTTTCTAGGATTCCTCGAGTACAACTCCCTCCCCCACAGTAAGAAGGTTCCGGAAGAAAACTCCCTCACCTCCTCCTAATAAGCGGTTAACCAAGCGCTCTAGTATGCAAAGAGCTTCAGATAGGTATACTTTTAAAAATATTCTTAAAATAAAAAAATTAAAAAATTGTCATTTTTAATTTTTTAATTTAGACATTTGGAAACATTGGACGGTTTGACCAGCGCTGATGAATCACGACCTATGTCCATCGATCTCAGTATTGACGCAGGCGGCGTCACTGACGCCTCCAGTTGGGTTGGTGAGGGCGTCATTATGCGTCAGGGTGCGACTAGCCGGGCAACTAGACCGTTGACGCGCTACCTGCCGGTCACGACGCAAGAGAACTTTGATCTTAGATCTCATATTGAATCTGCAGGACATCAGGTATAAAACTCCTCTACTCCTCATTACATCACTTCCCCCCCCCCTCCCTTCACTTCTCATGGGGGATTATGAAGATTAATTAAAACATAAATTTCAGATACTAAGCTTTCTTTTTGGAAGGATTTCTACGTGTACGATTTTTTTTAAAATCTGGAGTAGATTACATCTTGTCCCTTTAATAAATCTTAATTTGTCTACGGTTCCTTTAACTAGTTGAATTGTTTTTAGATTGAATTGTGTAAGCATATAATCCTGAACTCCTGCAGCTGTAGAGGATATCTTAGTAAAATGGGAGCTAGGCTTAAGGTACAGTTTTCATAATAATAATAATGAAGTGGTAGGCGATTATGCCAATACAATTAAGATGACTTTCTTTTTTAATTTTGATTTAAATTAAGATGTTTAACAGCATGGATATTCATAAACATAAAAGTCAAGATAACCTATCAATTTAAAAAGCTTCTATTTGTTTACTTATAAACTTGTAATTCTAACAAAAGCATGTTAACAATCAAAACTTAAATAAAAAAGCCTCCTTCATTATATTGTTATAATCGCCTACCACTGTAGTAATAACAGTATTAGTAATAATAATGATAATAGTACGATTGCAATATCGTGTAAAACCCCTTTAAATATGATTGGATTATCGTTAACAACTCCTTTTAATATGATCAGAATATCGTGAACAACCCCTTTAAATATGATCAGAATATCGTGAACACCCCCTTTAAATATGATTGGAATATCGTGAACAACCCCTTTAAATATGATCAGAATATCGTGAACAACCCCTTTAAATATGATCAGAATATCGTGAACAACCCCTTTAAATATGATCAGAATATCGTGGACAACCCCTTTAAATATGATTGAAATATCTTTTGACATCTTGGTTTCCAACTCTTAAACCAAAAACCTTTTATTCAATTTAGATCAAATAAATATTTATATATTTTCTCTTTTCAAATTTCAAACAAACGCTAAAATAAACAGTATTATGGATGGATTTCTGGAACATACTGTGGGGTCCATAGATCTATGGAATAGGAAGACGACATTTGAGTTATCGGAAGTGTAGTTAATTTTGTTTTCAATCAAAAACTTATTTTACAAGTGTAAAATGGGTCTATGTTCACTTCAGGGGACAATTAGTTTGTCATATGTTGACGAAGTCCCAGCCTTAACTTCTACGGTGACATGGTTGATTGATTGATTGTTTCTTTGCTTGTTCATTATTATTCAACTTATTATTTCAAATCATAATCGGAACAAACAGTCGTCTTTCTATTTCCTAGTTTTATGGGTATCACTGTATTTAACCACAGATCCTTTCAAGACCCCTCCCCCCCCTTCCTGGATTAGTAGGGGGGAGGGCAAAGAACAATATTAACTCGTATGTTGAAAATACAACGAAAGAAAATACCACTACGTCTGAGAATTATGATTAAAAATCAAATATTTTTCTGCAAATCATATCTCGTGGGACATTCATTCTTTCTGCAATAACTTTGCAAAACCTTAGAAAGACAAGAATCAGTTGGAACATTTCTTTATTCCATAGAAAACTCTAAATATTTTAAGAATTGTATAATGCTGTCAACTTAACTTAAATCGATGGTGTTTTATGATTAAAATTGTTAACGCCATCTTGGGTTTCCAACATGTGGTCTACCTTCATTGTATTTTCACTGTAAATTATTAGTGCTTTGTTTGTGTGATCGTTTGTTAAGTTACGTTTGTTTAGGGTTTCTTTATAAAGTTTGTTTTTGAAGGTTGGTTTGTAAACATTTGAAATGTTTGCTGAGTATTACTTGGTAAAGTTTGTTCGTTTTGCCCTAGGTTGGTTTGTTAAGCTTTGTTTGTTTTATTTCGTTAAAATTTGAATATAAATTTGTTTAAGTTTGTTCATATTAGTTTTTATGCTGAACTGTTTGGGTTTGTTTGTTTAGGGGAACCTATTTAAGTATGTTTGTTTGTTTAGTCTTAGGTTAGTTTGTATAGGATTGTTTGTAAGGTTTGTTTGTTAACATTGGTTTAGTTTTTTTTGGTAAGGTTTGTTTGTTTATGTTATTTTAGGGTTGTCGTTTTAGTTTTGTTTGCTTAAGTAACTTTAAGGCTTTTTGGGTATGTTTGGGTTTGGTTTGTTATGGTCTGTTTAGGTATGTTTGTCATATCAGGTTTTTGGGTTTGTTTGTTTAGGTTGTGTCTTTAGATTTGTTTGTTTAGGTTTGTAATTTTTTAGCTTTGATTTGATTTGAGGTTTAAGTGAATATGTAAAACCTATAACAAGCTATAAGGCCTCACTTTGGACCCTATTTAGTAAACCCACTTCAGGGTTGGACCTTTAAAGTAGGAGTCCGGAAAAATCGGATTAGATTTAATCGTATTTGTTTAAGGTTTGGACTAAACGCTGGTTTGTGTTTGATCGGAACAAGAGAACTCTAGTTTACTACAATGATAAATCAGAGGTTATTTTTTATGAAGGATTTTCATAGAATGAGATAATTGCAAGCTGGTTTAATATTTGAAGTTTAATTCAAAGAAATAGAAAACATTTAAATCTAACGCTGTTTAGAATTTTAAAGCCAGGTGTTTCCTAAAATAAAATTTTGATTAATTTTTATTTTTTTATTTGTGGAAAAGATATTTTAGGTTATATTTTTTTTCTCGCGGGGCCAGGATGACAAATGGGTCGGTGTAAAATTAAAAAATATTATTCAAGAACTTTTTTAAGCCTTTGGGTTAAAGATAATTAATTAATTTTTTCCTTTCATGTTTTCGGGGCCAAGTTTTAAAATCTTTTTTTGGGAATATCTGCTGGGAAATATACATGGTATAAGTTTATAATTTTGAACTAATTTATAATGTTTTTAATATTTCAGAATAAAGTGAAGGGTGGAATATATTTTCATTCAATTTCTGAAGTTTATGTTGATCACCAAAATAACAGGTATTCAAGTTTTATAAATCTACTTTTATCATTTATCAATGATACGTTTCATCAATGTTAATTTTTATGAGTCATTTTGTAAAATTCTTACTTCTTTTTTTTATTAAAAAAAATGTTACATTTCATCTCATCTTTTGTCATTTATCTTTCCGCTATGTTTTTGCGAATATCTTATTTCTCCTCCGCTCCTTCTTCAGGTTTTTATTATATTTATCTATCTTCTATTTATTTGGCATTCCTTTATTCTTCGTTGAAATTTCCCTTTTGTAGAAACTTTTATTTTTCCATTATATCAGGGCTGCTAATGCGCGAGTAACGTTTTGTATGAAGACGACTGATCGGAGTTATTTATTAATGGCGTCTACACCGGAAGCGATGAGAATTTGGGTCGACGTCCTCTTTACCGGAGCTGAAGGATACAGAGAGTTCCAAAATTAATCATTTTTATAATATTCTTCACAAACTTTTTGCCCCTAAGGGTCTAAAAGGAGATTTTTTACCCCTTTCCCACAACATTTTAGTCATGGCTGTTTTTATGTAATTGAATGAATCTTAACAAGCCAAAACGTTCCCCAAGTATACAGTGGTAAATGTTTTTTCAAAAACTAAAATAATTTTTTTCAATTTTTGGTACTTTTCCTTAAAAATTCATGTTTTCGATTAACAAAATTAAGGAGGAGGGGGGAAATCTAAGAAACTAGATACCCCAGCAAGTATATTCTTTCATCTAGAAATATTTGAATGCATTTGTCTGGACTTGTTGTGTGTCCCCTTCTCTGCACAAATGTAGAAACTTTAATGTTTAACTTGTCAAAAACTTGCCAAAAACTAATATTTACAGGAATACACTGGAGATGTATATTCCAGGGATGTATATATTAACATAATACTTCAACCAAATTGAGAAGGAGAAATATAAACTTATTCACCCCCTAGGAATTTTCCAGGAAAATAAAAACTTTGTATTAAAATGAATTTTTTTTTAATGTCTGATGAAAAAAATGTTTAAACCTTAAGCATGCAATTCAAAGGTTGTGTTATATGTTAAGTATATTATTTTTTATGCTTCTATTTTATATTAATTTATTTTTATCTGGTCTATTTTAAACACTTTTTTGTATCAGTATTTGTTAGTTAATAATAAAAAAGACCTGAAAATGAAGATAACAAATTTCAATAATTTTTTAGCCATTAAAACAATATGCTTGTAATTGAGCAATACTTAATACTCATGGACTTTTTTTTATTAAAAATTTACATTTACAATAACAAAATAATTAATTTTACTGTGACTGTAATGTATGTAGAAACTGACACTTGCATTATGTATTTTTATACTTTTATATGTTTTAATAAAATTAATTAGTCATTAAATTTGTTTAACAATAAAGAGAGACTGAAAATAATTAATTTCAAATTTTGCGGATTAGAACTGGAACAAAATGAATCAAGTCCAGGGATGAAAATTTAATTAAAAATTTAAACCAAAATTAATGGTAAACTTTAAAGGGATTGATTACGATATTTACACTGAACATTTCTATACATCTTTATAATAGTTTTTCGTTCATAATTTACTAGCTGAAGTGCCCGGCGTTGCCCGTGGATTATGAAAAATCGAATATAAAAATTGTTACCCTGTGGGTATCCATGGGTTTCCTCAATAAACTTCAACCCATTCGGTCCAGCCGTATGGCCAGCTATAGCTGACAAATATTTATATATATAATAAACAAATAATATATTTATGAGCGAAGAGCTTTATTATATAGAAGGTGTAGGTGCTAGGTATATATTTATTCAAAGAATATTTTCTTTATTTAAAAAAAGCCTAAACACATGCTATATGGGTAGTAAGGACATTCCTAAAGCTCTGATTGATTGATTGATTGATTGATTGATTAATTACAAGATTAATTATATTTAAACTTTAATTGAACAGTTTTACACTACAGCCCTGTAAAAGGTTTAGACACTTTAACTTTTACAATTTATTCTTGTTTTGTAAACAAAAGCCAAGCTTGTGTCATGTTAGATTCTCTAGTTTTATAATTCCAGAATTTATGAGGTTTTAATCTTTCATGGTGGAAACAGTCATAAAACTTGGCTTTGCTTGTTACAAACTTTAAGAAAAATCACACTGTAATCTTAAAATAGCAAGGCTTACCATCTTACTATAGTTTGATTTTAGACCCCTCAAGGGCTAAATTAGAAATAATCTTAATTATAGCCGATGACTTATGTATGTAATTGTACACTGTACAGCCCCAGAAGAATCTTTATATACAAAACAGTAAATGTTTTGGTTTTTTTGTGTTTTTTTTTATGTTAGATTAAAACTGACGAACCCCTTAAACAAGTTTGATAGTACATTAGGTAGAACCACGGATATGTTGTTGGCTTTGTTTTAGAAAGTTTCAGAAAAAGTTTTGAAGCAAAGCTTTGTGCAAGTTATTGAAGATTTTACATAAAACTTAAAATAATCAGATCTGAAGGTTGAATTTGGTCGTCTGTCTTCAAATAATATCTTAACAGTCATTTAATGGTAAGCAAACAAAAGAATCGTTCTTTTTTGCAATTGTTAAAATAATTTTGTTCGTTCTTAAAATTATCGTTCATTTTCCATCAATATCGTTCGTTTTCTCAGTAATATCGTTCGTTCAATAAAATTGTATGTTCATTAAAAAAAGATCGATCATTTTTTTAAAAGTTGGTTGAAGAAAAAACATTCATTTTGTAAAAAAAAACCTATCGTTTTCAAAAAAGCTTTTTTTTAAAAATCGTTCGTTCATTAAAATAAAACGACCGTTCCTGTCAAAATCTTTTGACAAAATTCAATTGTTCATAAAAAACGAATGGTTTTTTTCAAGTTCGTTTTAACGATTTAAAAAACGATAGTTTTTTCATTTCTCTGAACGATTTATGCCGTTCGCCCATCGTTCGTTTTTTCTGATCGACACCATCGTTCATTTAACAAAAAGTAAATAGTTACTTCAAACAATATTTTGTTATTAGGATATAAGCGGAAAATAGAAAAACCTCACAAACTCCATCTAGTGTACAGCTATTACACTTTCTCATTTCCTCGAAGAGAAACTAATTTTAGCGGATTTTTACAAATTGAAGTTGTGAATATTTCTAATCTTGTTTTCTTGTATTGAAGCTGACCTCCAAAGTCCAAATTAAACCCTTAAACTGTTTCATTTAAAGCGCTTTAGGTCGTCATTAATGTCTAATACTTTGTAAATAACCCAATATACAAATTTATGTTAATGAGGCATTCCAATTTTATTATAATGAATAGGATATATTATCTAATATTTAAAGAGAAAAAATTATCAGATCAATTTCACTCTGACAGTTTATTTTCTATTTTTTAAATTATCATACGTTTGTTTTATTTTAGTTGAACATCTTTAATGTTTTCAAATATATTCTTAAAATTTATTAAAAAGTAATACTTAAAACCCATATATGCAACCAAATAACCCACTTTTTCCCTCTGATGCAAAATGAAAACCAAAGGTGTTATTGGGTTGAAAATTCGTACTGGTAATTCAGCACAATATAAAATTCTGCCTAATATTGAGATATATGTGAGTTGACCCATTGTTGAGAAAGCTCTCTTTTGGGTCAGTCTATAATTCTATTACAGGCATACAACAGTAAATATAAAGTATAGAGGAGTAAAGTGAGCTTTGAGTGGATTCAAAGAATTGGTAAATTAAAGGGACTGTAAGCGTAAATCAAAGGGACTGTAAGCGTAAATCAAAGGGACTGTAAGCGTAAATCAAAGTGACTGTCAGCGTAAATTAAAGGGACTGTAAGCATAAATTAAAGGGACTGTAAGCGTAAATTAAAGGGACTGTAAGCGTAAATCAAAGGGACTGTAAGCATGAATTAAAGGGACTGTAAGCGTAAATTAAAGGGACTGTAAGCGTAAATCAAAGGGACTTTCAGCGTAAATTAAAGGGACTGAAAGCGTAAATCAAAGGGACTGTAAGCGTAAATCAAAGGGACTGTAAGCGTAAATTAAAGGGACTGTAAGTGTAAATCAATGGGACTGTAAGCGTAAATCAAAGGGACTGTAAGCGTAAATCAAAGGGACTGTAAGTGTAAATTAAAGGGACTGTAAGCGTAAATTAAAGGGACTGAAAGCGTAAATTAAAGGGACTGTAAGCGTAAATTAAAGGGAATGTCAGCGTAAATCAAAGGGACTGTAAGCGTAATTTAAAGGGACTGCAGTAAGCGTAAATTCAAGTAGCTCTCCATGCCTAGATTGACAACGATACCCTTGAAACCTTTATCTAATCAATAATGTGGAAAGTACTCTCCTGTTTTTAAGGTACAAACGTGCTTAATTTTGATAATTCCAAAATTTTTTCCCTGTAGTCGAAATGCGCAAGTCACTTTTGTGGAGAACTTACATCAGTATTCGAAATTATAAACATTGATATCTTATTTATTTTTTATTTCACATAGCTTTTAAGTGTACCATTAAGTGCATCGGGCAATTCCCTCTTTTTATGGGGGGGGGGGGGTCTCTTAAATGCTTGCTTACAGTTCCTTTAAAAAAGTGATTTTAATCTTTATTGTTCTCTGAGGTTTAACGATTTAACGAATGAAAAAAAATTCTCAGAACCGTATGTACGCTTTAATTCAATTTCATTTGTAAATTTGAAGTTCCACATCAGATCTCTTCTCAGTTGTGAAAATATTAGTTTTAATTTATCTATAAATCAGTTCAAAGTTCTTTTATGGGTATCAACATTTAGAGATATGTTGTACAAAAAAAATTTTAAAATTTTATTTCAAAAGAAAATGTATGACGGTATTCAAAGATTTAACTTTTTTTGATGAAGGATGATGGATATATCCTTGTTCTTCTAGCTCAAAATTAAGTTCGTTCGTATTTAGTTGTCAAGAAGCTTGGGAACACAGCTTTGCCTGGAAACTATTGTTTCGTTGTAGCAGTCAACCAGTCAACTAAGAAATTTTATACAACAGAACCAAGAAACCCATGCAAAGAACATTTCAGTCGTTCAATCAAGTTCCTCAATTCAAATCAAATTTTGAGGCAATCCGGTCAAAGGGTTAATATCAGACATACATTGCATTGAGACAAACAGAGATTACTATAATATATAAATATTAAGATAATTATTAACGCTTGTAACAGTTAATAACTTTGAGGGCAAACTGTGCATATATATATATTTATATATATATATAAAATTATGTATAATTATCTAATTATTTTTTTCTTCAAATGGTGGGTTGCTTGAAATTACACTATATACAGGTTTCTCTAAAATTATTGAAGATATTTGATCAAATTAACTTAATCTGAAGCAATGCAGACTTAAGAGAAGGAGAGAGTAAATTTTATATTTCAAGGCTGGTCTGACTTTGAAACCTTGAAGCTCCTCTAGTTATGGTTTTACGTATTAAACCAGAGAAGCAAATTTATTCGGTTACGTTCATCTCAATCGCTCTTCAACAGGAGGAGTTATGATGGGAAACTTGTAATTGATTTCAATGATGTCGAGGCGAGAGTAATTAAATTAAATAATTAAATATTCCAGAGCTGAAATATGGGAATCAGACCAAAGATAGACCGAGCAGATCTTTTGAGTTCTTTATTCTGCTATGCTTTTTATACTTGTCTACCTACCTCTCATAGGTAAACTAGTCTACCTACCTCTCAAAGGTATACTAGTCTACCTACCTCTCACAAGTATACTAGTCTACCTACCTCTCATAGGTATACTAATCTACCTACCTCTCACAGGTATACTTATCTACCTACCTCTCACAGGTAATACTTGTCTACCTACCTCTCATAGGTATACTAGTCTACCTACCGCTCAAAGGTATACTAGTCTACCTACCTTTCACAAGTATACTAGTCTACCTACGTCTCACAGGTATACTAATCTACCTACCTCTCACATGTATACTAGTCTACCTACCTTTCACAAGTATACTGGTCTACCAACCTTTAACAGGTATATAAATGTCTACCTACCTCTCTCAGGTATATACTTGTCTAAGTACCTCTCACAGGAATACTTCTCTACCTACCTCTCACAGGTATACTTGTCTATACCTAGGGTGTCCCACATCATATTGGATCGTGTTATAGCTTCAAATTGCGATATCCGGGACCAATAAAAAGTTCAAAAAGAACGAATCAGTTTAAAAAAATTGAATATTGCTAACATAAAAATTTGCATGCAGAAAATACTAGGTTTTGTGAGTATTATGTGTGTATTCTCGCTTTTAAGCTTGGAGAGAATCTAATATAATATGGGACGCTCTGTACCTCTTACAGGTACCTCTCATGAGTCATGATTGAAAATTTAAAAGATTGTTTTTTCGCTTTGAATTCGTTTCGTTTTCAAAACGAAACTAAAATTGACTTTTATATTGTTTTGTTATTCTTAATTACAAAAAAACGATTATTATTTTATCCGATACCAATTTTGGATTTAAAAAAAAAAATGAAAAAAATTAGTTATGATTTAAAAAAATCGGTTAGAAGTTCAAAACGGCTTTTGAAAAAACTTACCCATCCCTACTTACAGGTACTGTATGTATCATATGTTAATCATGTTTAGTGTACATATTTAATCTAGAGTTTGGGCTGATGTTCGTGAAGCCTTGTACAAGTGTTCCGAACAAGACTTAGATCCTGAACTTGTTCAGGTAAATACTTCTCTTCTACAGTAGGACCCATACAAGACAATTGTGGAATAGAAACACGACACTTGAGCAATTTTATTTGTATTTGGTGTTGTTTTAAAGTAAATAAAGTTACCAATAGCAAGCACTGCAAGCACTCCGGTACAATTGTTGTGTTTCATGTTTATTGGACTATATAAAATCAGAACTAGCGACTATCTGTACTTTTTCCAAGTTTGGTTGAGATTGCTCTATACCTGTTTTAAATCATAACTTGGTACTAACATCTTCATTTTTCCATTTCACCTTTTTATGGGCCACCCTGTAAGATATTGGAGAAAAAAATACAGGGTGTCCCACAAAACATGACAAAATTGAGAGACGACTTGAAGCTTGACGAAATGGGGAAACCGAACAAAAGTACGCAACAGAAATCTGTCATGTATGGGATAGTATTGTGTACGTTCTGTTTGGCCAGACCTTCCAAAAATTATGTGACCTAGCATAAGCATAACCATACTAAAATTACATTGTGGACCGTTTTCTCTCTTCAAGTGGGGTTTATGATTTATAAAAAATTATTCAATTATAATTATGATTAATCTACTTTGGTGTAATAACTTACTCAATATACACAAGTAAAAAAGCAGGTAAAAAATGAACGGCCATTTTGTTTCAGAATCAGCTGATTTCTGACTTAAAGTATCATCCTGGATCACGAGCTCCAGTTTCACGGGAAGCGCAGCAGAGATTCATTATACAATACTTTTAACATTAAATATAAGGATAAAATTAGGTCTGGGTATCTTTCTGTTAATGAACGGTTGGAAAAAAAGTCTAAACGTGCCCAGCCTTGAGGGTTACCCATAAAGAAACAGACTTAAAGGGAGAGACTGGCTAGACATGGTACAGAGTGTCCCACGAAACATGACAGTTGGTGAATAGTATTGAATGTCTTCTTCCATATACGCATTAGATACAGGTGTCCCACGAAACATGACAGTATGCAGGACGACTTGAATGTCGTCTTGATTTTTGATATAATTTGCTGCGCTTATTTGTCAATCTAATTTTAGAAGTAAATTTCTAGAGATAATAATCACAAAATTTCCCTTGTCCTGCCATTTCCAAAATGTGGTCTGCCTTTTTTGTGCTTTCAATATTGCCCGAGATATGAAGAATTTCGTTCAGATTTCGACAATTTTGCTTTTATTTAAAAAAATTGAAATCTGAACCAAACTCCTTATATCTCTGGTAATATTGAAAGCACAAAAAACGCAGACCACTTTTTGGAAATGCCAGGGCTAGGAGAATTATGTGATAATTGTTTCAAGAATCATGCACGTTAAATTCAAATACCAAAGACGACTTTCAAGTCGTCTTCCTATTGTCATGTTTCGTGGGACACCCTGTATTATAGACCTTTTGCAGTTCATTTATTTTTAAAAATCTTTTACTCAAATTTATTTTACTTTGAAATCAATTTTACTATAATATGGCTGCCATGAAAATTTTTCTATTATTCTCTTGGGATTCAAACAGCTTAACAAACTATGGAAGAAGACATTTAAAACTTGTCACCAACTGTCATGTTTCGTAGGACACCCTGTATATTAAGATGAAAATGCAAAATTGTAGAAAAATTTTTTACGCTCTATATTTGTTATGGTAGAGGGAAAATTCAATATTTAAAATCCTCCTGGGTTGTTCTATCTGGAGGAATGATTTGAGAATAGTTTTTTAATCTAAAATATGTGGCGTTGTCTGTTGCTGTTAAAATAAATTGTCAAATATCCTCAGTGTTACTTTTGTTGCAGAAACGGATGAAAATCAGACAATTTATATAATAATGATTATTTTCCGGCATTTATTGCACTTCAAGAAAATTTCTCTGGAAACAGAATTGCAGCAAAATATTCAGATCTATGCAAGAGTAAAAATACTTAAAAATTTAAATTCTTTGCTACAAAACAAAATCTTTATATGTTTGGTTTCTCTGGCGATTGTTTGTCCGTTTGTATATCTAAATAATGTCAAAACAGATGAATCACTAAAATATTTTGTAAGCCACCTCACAAGTTCAGAACCACAGGGAAGGTTTATTAATGCTCTAATCATATAAACAAATTTTGATTTATTAATTTGTTTTAAAACACTACAAAAATCTGAAAAATGTAGGAAATTATAAATGTTTCACAAAGAAAAATGATTGCAAGAAAAGTAATAATTAATAGCTATAATCATAATAAGAAACCAGGGTCCCCGTAGCCCCTTCCACCCTGTGTACGACTTTGAGTTTGCAGTTAGTGAATTTTTCCATTCACTCAATCAAGCTAACTAATTTTAACAATTTCCTTATCTTAGATATTTACTGTACACTGTACAGTATAAGTTATATCAGTATAATACCTGAGTTAGAATTTCATGAATCTGAGCTGCGTCTCAAATCCGCCAAGAACCGGTTTTAATTGAGCGCCAGCTTTAATCTTGAAACATGGAATACGATTTTAAGTGGAACCAACCATATATTTGAGCCGCGGCTTAAATTTAAGCCGCGGCTCAATTCTTTAAATTCGGCCTCTGGCATCTGAGTTTAAATCTATTGTAGTTTCGTCAAGTTTGCTTGGGTTTAATTAAAAAGAATTTCTTTGATCTATTTGAAACTTGAAGCAATTCAAAGAATATTAGAATAAGGAAACTTATGTGTATTTAATGATCTATTGAAGTTAGTATTATCTCTATTAACTCGAAAACGGATTCATAAAAAAAATTGAGCACGAATGCCACAGTTTATTCTTTAGAAAAATTGTTAATGGTCGTCTTTCTATCTATCACGTTTCATACATACATAGGACAGATGTGATCTTCTAATCAGTTTCAGAACACAAGCAGTCTATAAAGAAACTATATGAGATGCTTTTAGGTGAAAACACATTAAATAAGTTTAATCCAGATTTTAAAAAGTAATTCCGTTTTCAAGTTTGGACCATTAGCCGCATCCTCCCACACTATTAAACACAGCTGGGGTTAACTCTCCAGTAGAACTGTGCTCCTCAACCTTTTAAAGTTTTCTGAAATTTTGCGGCCTTGTGCGCTTAAATTGTTTTCAATCATGAACAATATTAAAATTTAATATTCAATTTACAAAATTTTAACCAGCATGCTTTGAATAAACATTCCCTGGGGTCATGTTGGGTACCTAATCGGTTTACCTGTGTTAATTTGTTAACGTTTATTGGATAAACATACATGCCAAATATGTGTTTAGAGATTGTGCTAAAGAAAATATTAAATTAAGCGCGCAAATAATTGGGTTTTTTTATTGCACGCAAATAAAACAGTAAATTCTTAGTATAAAAAAACTCAAATTTCTTATCGTATTTTTGTAATGGTAACTTTCCTTTATTATATTTCATCAGCTTTTTATTTTACGATGTTATAAACTTTGCAAGCTTACATATTTTAAAAACATACTTTTCATCCCTTAATTATTAAAATACCAATTTCAATTAAATAATGAAGACAAAAAATTCTTTCAGAGGGAATTACCATTTACCACTATTTCACATGGAAGTTAAGAAGAGTTTACTTTACTTAGGGTTTTCAGGGCAAATTTTAGTAAAATACGTGATAACCCCGGTCTGAAATTAAATTTTAAATTTTTTCTGAAAGTAGTGCATAGACATTTTTATCGCCTTCGAGATAAAAATGAACCAATTTGTTCTCTTAAATTCGTGGAGGTCCGTGTTGTTTACATAATTAGGGACAGTAAAGTAATCTAACATCCCGCTGTCGGAGAATTATGGGTTGGTATTATTGGAGAAAATATGGTAAAAGTTTAGAAAAAAATTAACGATGTTCAGCCCTGTTAAAAACCAATTCATTGCAGACTTTTCTTCCACAACCTTTCTCCGAAACCACTTGAGTAATTAATAGAAAATTAGAGGATTAAACAACTCCTTTTATAGAGATTAATCATCTTTCTTAATTATCATCAGTTAATCAACTTTTAATTATGGAGATAATTATGTCGTAGAAATATTAATTAGCTCAAAGAAGAGAACGAAATTTATAAACCCGTTAATTAATTATCTTTTTCATTCAGATTCTTAAAAATGGCATAATATTTTTGTGGGACTTGGCTTGGCCATTTGAGTGGTTTGCGTTAAATTGGAAAACTTCGACCAATGAAAATAACTCATCTGAATTGATAGTTTCTCTAAATCTTTTGAACAGTATTAAAAATGAGTTATTTTATGATTAGATCAAATATTTTTTATTGTATAATGAAATATTGTTGTGTAATGTATAGATCTCATCAATTTCAGGCATTCAACTGGTTCAGGTAAAGGTTCAATTAAAGAAAAAAGTTTAGAAAACATTGCATAAAATACGACATTTTTCAAATCTTCTATTTTAGTATTCAGGCAGAGGAGTTCAAATGGAAACTTATTCCCGAGTTCAGGTCAAATTTCATTATGATTTAGATTCAACCATTGTTTGGAAAAGAGATTATCCTATAGCTGAGTACCCGGCGTTGCCCGTGAAATAAAAAAATCGAATTTTGAAAAAAATTTGATGAAAAAAAATATTTAAATTTTTTAGCCTATGTTAACTCCGGGATACCGAATGGTCCCCTCAAAAAGATTTAGCAAATTTGGTCCAGCCGTTAAGCCAGATATTATAGCTAACAGATAATAATATATATATATGCATATATATATATATATTTATATATATTTATCTATACAAATATACAAATATATAAATGAGCAAAGAGCTTTATTATTTAGATAAGTGTTTAGTAAAATTGATAGTTCAGAATCTTTAGATTATAAGCATTTCGCGCATTTATAATTATAGTCGTCTTCGATCTAAGCGATAAAAAAATCATTTATTTTAAATTCTTAAAACTTTTTATTGCACACTTAGTATTTCTTGATAATACAGCTGCTGTAAATTCGAATGGTATTTTTTTTGATTTTTGCAATATTTGGTAGCTTCTCATTAAGGCGACTAGGAGCTTTTCAAAAATGAATCACATGTCATATTTGGACATCAATATCATACATAGGATTTAAAGAGAGTAGGNCATGTCATATTTGGACATCAATATCATACATAGGATTTAAAGGGAGAAAGGAGAAATTATGAATGAAAGTAAAAGAACCAATTGTACATAAGCTTGCAGAAATAAATCCAAACTTTAAAAAAATTCAATTTAGAAGTACAAAATATACGCCTTATATCTATGCTTAACAAGATATAAAATATAAAACTGAGAATAAAGTTTAAATTGTAACCATGCATTTAAATCATAGTTTAATGTTTAACTTTCCTCAAGTATTAATATTCTGTATAGAAGCAACCTTTAATTCAAAACAGGATTCTCTTTCCCAGGAATTCAGTTAGAATACTTATAGAATACAGCTAGAATACAGCTAGAATACATCAAGAATACAGCTAGAATACAGCTAGAATACAATTTGAACACAGCTAGAATACAGACAGAATACAGCTAGAATACAGCTAGAATACATCAAGAATACAGCTAGAATACAGCTAGAATACAGTTAGAATACAGCTCGAATGCAGATAGAATACAGCTGGAATACAGATAGAATACAGCTAGAATACAGCTAGAATACAGTTAAAATACAGCTAGAATACAACTAGAATACAAGAAGAAAATTGTTAGATTACAGCTAGAATATTAATAGATTACAGTTAGAATTCAGCTAGAGTACAGCTAGAACACACCTAGAATACAGTTTTATGGAAAAAAAGTTGAATGAACAATTTCCTTCAATTCTTTGCTTTGTTCCATGCATTGATTGGCTGATGAAGAAATCAATTAGAATAAATCATAAAATTCTACAATTTCATTGATTTCAATTTTCCAAAATTATCAAACAGGATTTTTTTTATTTTACAAAAAAAGCTTCGTAACGCTTCTTTACTTATTTCAAATATATTTGATGTGCAGTTCTTCATTAAATAAAAAAAATTCATGTTTTCGTATTTTACATTCATCTTAAACTTATCCTCTTTTGTCGCACCAGGTCTTTTATGTGGCTAATTTTTCTCTTTTAGTGAAGTTTTTTGATCTTCTTGACGTTTTTTTTGGTTTTGTTTAAATATTTTGATATCGTCATGCGACATATTTCGGTCTTTTTGTAATGAACTTTTATTTTCTTGGAACGTAACTTGTTTCTTTTAGCGAAGTATAACTTTGATCTTCTTGTGAGTTGTAAAGCATTTTTGTCTATTTGTAAAGCCTTCTTTGATTCATTTTGGCCTCTTTGTAAAGAATTTCAATCTTCTTTAAAGCATCAAACCGTTTTGCAAAGTATTATGAATTTCGATCGTCGCAATTTCGTTTTCTTGTGACGTACTTTTGGAGTTCTTTTCAGAATTATCTATTTTTTTTTCTTTAGTTCCGTGTTAGATAAAGAACTGGAAGAACTGCCATTTGTCTACAGAACTTACCCGAGGTAAAATTTGAGAAATATTTTGTACAGCCCTAAAATTCTATTGAAAAGTATTATAAAAAATGGTAAAGAAGGGAATTATGAAAAATCTTTGAATTCTCAAAAAATGTAGTTTTGTTGATTTTCTTTTTAATCTTATTCCATTTCCATTAAATTTTTTTCGGTCAGACCATTGTTAATTCATTATCTCTTGGATCTTTTGCATTTTTGATAAGTAAAAATAAGTAAGTAAGATAAAACATAATATGGAGGTAATTTTTTTATTTTTAATGAAAAAAGAATATAAAATTTTCCCAACACAATTCTCAAGACTTTATCTTAGAGGAGATATTAGTGTGACATTACTGGAGGAGAACCAGGACCATCTGAGCCATGGAACCACGGGCCTCATCACGTGGCAGGTACAACGTGAGGAATAGATATAACGTCGTCTTCCTTTTGTGTTTTCAATTTTAGGGCTAAAACAAAATGTAATCAACGTGATGCTGAGATAATTGATATAGATTAACTTCAAATGAAGCTAAATAGATAGACACTGATTTTTTAGGGGGCTTACTGTCTTCTAGATTGGGCAGAGTGGAGTGAAGAACTAAAGGGAAAATCAGTCCTTGAACTTGGATCAGGAATAGGACAGGTAGATTAAATGCAGTCCTAAAACTAGAAATAGGAATAGGACATGTAGGAATACGTACTGGAACTAAAACTAGGAATAGGATAGGTATGAATACAGATCTAAAACAGAACTAGGAATATGGTAGGTAGGAATACAGTCCTAAAACTAGAACAAGGAATAGGGCAGGTAGGAATACAGTCCTAAAGCTATAAATAGGAATAGGACATGTAGGAATACAATCCCAAAACTAGAACTAGGAATGCAGTCCTAACACTAGATCTAGAAATATGACAGGTAAGAATACAGTACTAAAACTAGAGCTAGGAATAAGACCGGTAGGAATACATTCCTATAACTAGATCTATGAATAGGACAAGTAAGAATACAGTCCTAAAACTATAACTAGAAATAGGACAGGTAGAAATACTTTCATAGAACTATTAGTAGGAATAGGACAGGTAGGAATAAAGTCCTAGAACTATAACTAGGAATATAGTCCTATAACTATAACTAGGAATAGTACAGATACAAATACAGTCCTAAAACTAGAACCAGGAATTGGAAAGATAGGAATACAGTCTTAGAACTAGAACTAGGATTAGGACAGATAGGAATACAGTCCTAGAGCTTGAACAAGGAATATCGTCCTAAAACTATAAGAACCAGGAATGGGACAGGTAGGAGTACAGTCCTAAAGCTAGAACTAGGAACAGGACAGTCATAGAGCTAGAACTAGAAATAGGAAATGTAGGAACACCATCCCAAAACTAGAACCAGGAATAGGGCAGGTAGGAATAAAGTCCTACAACTAGAACTAGGAATAAAGTCCTAGAACTAGAAATAGGAATGGAAAAGATCTGGAATTAGATTTTGAGATTTGTTAAAGGAGAACATAATATAAATAGGATTAGGAACGGCTGTAACAGCTTAAGCTTTAAGATTAGTATTACAATCTTTTTACAACTAGGTCTCAATTTCAAGAATGAAAACATTTACCGAAAAAAAATCCTAGATTTGAGAAATAATTGATCTTGACTCCTTTTCCCCAAATCAATTAATTCAGACTACATTTTTAATTTTTAAAAATATTAATAATACGGCGGTAGGACATTATATTGATATAATGAAGACGAATGTTTAATTTATGTTTTTGTTAATAAGCTTTATTATATAACTAATAGTTACATATAATTAAAGAAAGGCTTTTTTAATTGACAGTCGATCGTTTGTTTCCATGCTTTTGTGTATCTATGCTGTTTAAAAAGCTTGTTTATAAATTATAATTGAAATCGACAGTCATCTTCATTATATTGATATAATCACCTATCACCCTTGTTGTATTCATTTTTTTGCTTGTGTTTATTTGCTTATTTATTTCTTACCAAAAATGGTAGAATGATTGACATTTTTTAAACGGTAAACCATTCTTTTAAAAGTTTCAAATTTTCGTTAAATTAATTCTCTTTTATGCTGTAATATACAAATTTAAGTTTATTTAGTCGTTTTAAAGAATTTAAAGCAAAACTTCAATTAAAAATGACATTAATAACAGAATAAAAAAAGTTTCATCCTTTGTGTGAATTCTGAGGTGGGGTTTGATGAAAAGTAATTCATTAATTCCGACCTCTGATTCTAGTTTGGGTTAACTGCGGTCCAGTCTCTTCAGATCAAAGAGTTTATTTTCTCAGACTTCCATCATTCTGTTCTTAACTATCTACACCTTAATATAAGGTTAGTTAAAGGATCTGTTCTCAACTATCTACACCTTAATATAAGGTTGGTTAAAGGATCTGTTCTCAACTATCTACACCTTAATATAAGGTTAGTTAAATGATCTGTTCTTAACTATCTACACCTTAATATAAGGTTAGTTAAAGGATCTGTTCTTAACTATCTACAACATAATATAAGGTTAGTTAAAGGATCTGTTCTCAACTATCTACACCTTAATATAAGGTTAGTTAAAGGGTCTCTTCTTAACTATCTACACCTTAATATAAGGTTAGTTAAAGGGTCTCGTCTTAACTATCTACACCTTAATATAAGGTTAGTTAAAGGGTCTGTTCTCAACTATCTACACATTAATATAAGGTTTGTTAAAAGGTCTGTTCTCAACTATCTTCACCTTAATATAAGGTTAGTTAAAGGTTCTGTACTCAACTATCTACACCTTAATATAAGGTTAGTTAAAGGGTGTGTTCTCAACTATCTACACCTCAATATAAGGTTAGTTAAAGAGACAGTTAAAATTTCATGTAACCTTTCATTTATGAGTAGTATGCTCTGTTCAAAACTAAACCCTTTAAACCTTTTTTTATTCGCAATGTTTTAAAAATTGTTTATAACAGCATAAAGTGCAATTAATTTTTAGATAAACCACAATTGCAACTGATAAAATTTTAAAAGAAAATGATGAATATCGTTTGTATTTTTATCAGACAAATCTTTTCCCGGGAGCGTTGTGAATCAGATATGCCACTTTACAAACAGCACTTAAAATGCAGTTGCCCAAGGAAGTTATGTGCGCTTGTCGCGTTGATTTACGAGGAAGAGTAGTATATATTTTAAGGTTAGGTTAGGTTAAGACACTTTCTAGGCCGGGCGCTGAGGCTAGAAAAGGCTAGGGGGCCGAGCGCCGCGGCTAGGAGAGACTCTCCCTCTATCTTGAGATTCCTAGGGCCTCTATCTACTTAAAATTACGTCTGTAGTGGGAAAAACACAAATGTTTTGACAGACCATTTCTGTAAAAAGTTGGATTCATTTATTTGTTCGCTAGCACGCCAAACGGCTGGATCAAATTGGCTGACATTTTTAAAGGGAACCCATGTGTACCCCTGTAGGTATAAAATGCCCCAGTTTTATAAAATAAAAGTATATAGTGTCAAGTTCTAAGGTAGTGAGATTCATGAAAAAAATAAAAAGTGAGATTTGAAAATCCAAAATGAGAATAAAAAATTTTAACTTTTATTTTCAAACTGTGGTATTGGCGGTAGTGAGATTTCAAAATCCAAAATGAGAATTATTTTGAAAATAAAAGTTGAAATTTTTTATTTTGGATTTTGAAATCTCACTACCGCCAATACCAGAGTTTGAAAATAAAAGTTGAAATTTTATTTTCTCATTTTGGAATTTTAAATCTCACTACTGCAAAAACCTCTAGTTTGAAAGTATTTACATTTTCTAATTTCGAAAAAAAGGCATTTAATAATCTGAAAAGTGTAAAGAAAATGTACAAAAACTAGCTTTTAAAACCTTCAATACCATTTTCTTTTTAAAAAAACATAAAATTTTCGCTCAAAAAGAAGGCATTTTATACAAACACTGTGTACCCCGGGGTGTACAAGGACTAAAATCTTTTTAAAGTTTTTGAAATTTCACGGTAAGATCATAATTCGCGACTAAGCGCGGGTAAACGGCGGTAGTATAACTATGATGTAACCTGAACAAGTGCGTTAACGTTGTAACTTGTGAATCTTTACTCAACCCAAAAGTTCCCAGCTCTAATATAATTTATTCCTAATATTTCTTTACCTCATTTAGCAGTCGGGGGTTCGGATCTTATCATTTATTAAGTTCATTATTACATCGTTAGAAGTAAAGCAGGAATAATCTTTTATAAAAATAAATATAAAATACAATAAAACTTTGCTTTGGTAATAAATCATAATTTTAAGTATTTCTAGTAGTTCCAAGTAAAGAAAGGGGGGAAAACGTGCAATAAAATCGTGAGATCGTGAAAACAGGAGTCTGTTTTTACGGATTTCCGATTTTAATTGAGTTTTTTTTTCAGTTTAAATCTAGGAAATCCACCTTCAATGGAAGAACTGGAGGTAATACAAATTTTTTTTTGAGAAGAATTAGAATAGTCAATTTGGATTATTTGACTCTTTCATGCCTTTTCATTTTGGAATTGTGAAATTAATTTAGTCCAATTAACAGATTTTGAGTTTTTTGCTCATGTATGAAAAAAACATGTTTGTCATTTTGGGCATTCATTCGATAGATTTAAAAAAATGTGATAGAAAAAAAATGAAAATAACAAATTTGTTTTTCTATAAAATATTTCTCCCACAAGAAAAATCTTATTTTTCTTCAAACTTTAAAAAGTTGTTTTCCATAGTTTAGATCTTTAAAAAAACAGGGATGTATATTCATTTAAAGAAGAGAAACGAAATATAATCGTTTTTGGCTATTAACAAAAAAATGCAAAAACTTTTCATTAAAAGTATTTTGTTCTTTTTACATTTTCCTTTTGTCAGAAGGAAATGGAAAAAAAATTGTAAATTTTTACTTTTTTAAAATATATATATGAATACATTATTATGTACCGAAAAAACACTACAGGGAAATATTGAGGAAATATAACCATGTAAACTAGAAAGTATACAACCCTAAAAATTAGAAAATATACAACCCTGTAAACTAGAAAATATACAACCCTGTAAACTAGAAAATATACAACTCCTGTAAACTAGAAAATATACAACCCTGTAAACTAGAAAATATACAACCCTGTAAACTAAAAAATATATTTTTCAAATAAATTATTCAGGAGTTCATGCAGAGGGGTTACTTGGAGCCTTACACAGCTGACACTGTTAGGTAATATTAATATTTTGTTTTTATAATATTGTAAAAATATATTATAAAATGTCTCAATATAAAAACTTTCAGATAAAAATTCCACTTTACAAGAAATTTACTTGAGAAGTTTTTTTTTAAAAAGTACTTTCTTGGTCAAAGTGAATCCGCATTCGGCATCAAAAAAGAAATAATTTGAAAAATTTGAAGGAACAAATGAAACCATTTAATTTTGTTTTAACAGTATACAAAGTACAAACCATTAATTACAAATATATGTCCGTAACACTGACAACACTGTTTTAGGACTGCATTTATCGGATTTCATCTTCTTTATTTCGGTTTATTCAAAAAAGACTTTATTTAGATATAAATAAGCTCCATTAAAACTGTGGGTAAGACTGGACACTGTTTGAAAGCCGTCCGTTACATGTTTCTTAGCAAAAACCTTCAACTGAACTGCTGTTTTTTTGTATATTGTGAGAAGTACAACTAAGGTTAAGGTTCAGTACTCTGACTGTACTAAATACATATATGTATATCTGATATTACAAACGATTATGATGTGAAATTTACAATTATGGTTCAGGGTTCATCACACTGGTTATACTATATATATCTATAAATCTAGGACCTAGGTATTGTACTAAAAAGTATGATGTGAGAAGTACAACTAAGGTTCAGGTTCAGTACATTATTGTATATTTATCTAGGTATTGTACTAAATATTATGTTGTGAGAAGTACAACTAAGGTTCAGGTTCAGTACACTATTGTATATTTATCTAGGTATTGTACTAAAGATTATGATGTGAGAAGTACAACTAAGGTTCAGGTTCAGTACACTATTGTATATTTATCTAGGTATAGTACTAAAGATTATGATGTGGGAAGTACAACTAAGGTTCAGGTTCAGTACATTATTGTATATTTATCTAGGTATAGTACTAAAGATTATGATGTGAAAAGTACAACTAAGGTTCGGGTTCAACACCTAGATTGGAGAGATTATCAATCATCCCTTCTACCCAGGTCATATACACTTCATAATATATAATAATATACACTTTATATGCTTTTCATAATATGTAATGATATGCACTTTATATACACTTTATATACACTTCATAATATATAATAATATACACTTTATATACACTTTATATACACTTTATATACACTTTAAATACACTTCATAATATATAATAATATACACTTTATATACACTATATAATATAAATATTATGCATTTTACATACACTTCATAATATATAATAACATACACTTTATATACACTTTATAATATATAATATTATACATTTTATATACACTTCATAATATATAATATGAACTAGTTGCATGAATGAGGGAGGGTATAAAAGGATATGTATGATAAGGATGCTGTGAACTGGTTGCATGAAGGAGGGTATAAAAGGATTAGTATAAGGATGCTGTGAACTAGTTGCATGAAGGAGGGAGGGTAAAAAAGGATTAGTATGATAAGGATGCTGTGAACTGGTTGCATGAGGGAGGGAGGGTATAAAAGGATTATTTTGATAAGGATGCTGTGAACTGGTTGCATGAAGGAGGGAGGGTATAAAACGATTAGTATATCAAGGATTGGACCGATAAACCCTGCAGCACTGACCAACTAGAGAGAGAGAACACAAACTTTCATTCTCTATCTAGTTTTCACATTTAATGGGACTGTCCTCAGTTTAATAGCAGACTGTACAGTGTACAACGACAACATTACTGAAATCTTTAAACTTGAAATTACTTTTGTCTTTTTTTGGCCCTTTTACGAAAAGTAGATAAGGGCACATTTCCAGATTCAGGTAAAAGCATATCATAAAAACCAAAAAAGTTGAGAAATTTTTTTGCTAGATAAAAAAAATTGAAAAAGGCTGTAAATAAAAAACAATAAAGATGGCATGGGGTTAGAACTCAGCAATATAGAAAAAAATACATGAGGTATACCATACTGAAATATAACAAATTAAAGAGCCAGACTGAATTGAGTAATAGCATGATATACATACAATACTTATATCTATAGACATAATAATGATACTAAATACTAAATATGTGATCAGAGTAGAGATGGAACGCTACAGAGGTTTCTCAACCTTGAACAGGGCAGACATATTCTTCCATGACAAGTTTTTTCAGCCCCTTCGTTAGTACTAACCCTCGCGTCTCATAAACCTGTTATCCTGTATCCGGCCCTGCTCCGACCAGCTGCCGGGGTCAGTCTACCTGTTATCATGTTTCTTACGGTTTTTTCTATCTTGCCTTTATATTTAAACTTCCAGCAGACAACTAACTTCGGATTGCCTTTATTTTTAACCTTTGAAGCAGACAACTAATCTACGACTTGGAATTGAGTCCGTGTACTTTTAACTAAATTCTAAATATATATACAAATGAAGCCGTGTTGGCTTACAGTACTGTTGAAGACACAGTATTACGGATTTAGTATTGAGGATGCAGTATTGAGTCGACTCAGTATTGAGGACTCAATATTAAGGAGGCAGTACCGAGGACGCAGTATTGAAGAGGCAGTATTAAGGACGCAGAATTGAGGACGCATTATTGAGGAGGAGGAATTGAGGACGCAGTATTGAGGATGTAATATTGAGGACTCAGTATTGAGGTCGCAGTATTGAGTAAACAGTATTGAGGATGCAGTAATTTCTTACTTACTTACTTACTTCCTAATTTAAAATAAATTCTTTCCATTGAATTATTTTATGGTTAAAAAAGTCTAATGGCTAATGAAATTTAATTAATAAACTTTTTTTTTAATCATCAATTTAGAACTATTTTCATTTTTTGCAGTTTATTGTAATAGTGCAATATGCCGGGACCAGATACTGCGGGAAAAGTTGAAGTTTTCTTTTCTGAATGTTAAATTAAACTTAAATGCAAATCTGGAGACCAGGATTAGAAGGTGGCAAGGCCAAAACACCTTTCGTCCTTCAAGTCCCCCAGTTGGTTCAAAAAACTGAAAAAGAGGGTAAAAATTAAAGGTGCACTTTTTAGGACGCACTGTTGTGTGCACACATTTGAGGACGCACTTTTTAATACACACATTTGAGGAAGCAAAGCAGACCTCCTTTGTGGTCCAAGAATTACAGCTGGAAAAGCACTGAGTTTAGTTACGCATCTTTTATCCTACAGGGGATGATGGAAGTATAGATTAAAACAAAACTTCATCTTCAGCTAGGTGCATGAAAAAGGAGTTTAACCCCTCGCAGGAATACAAGCCAAGGACAACGATACCGGTTTTTTACTCGACCAGTTGTGAGGACTGGACTGCTATGGAAGATTCCTCTCAAGAGAGCTTTCAGGGATCACAACTTCCCATTTTGGTTAAGGGGTCCAGTTATGGGTCTTCCTTAATTCCCTTAACTGGGAAACAGTATAAAAGGAACACAGGGAGAAATCCCCTATACCCTTCTTCCTACAAACCTCCTTATCTCTCCCCTACCTGCTCCACAACTCAATGTCAAACAAAACTATTTGGAAAGGCCTTGAAGTGTATAAACAAGAAACAAGAAGCAAGAGGAAAAAAAATTTGAACAGAAAAAAAGTGGAAGGGCTTTACACTGTCTAATTTTTTTCACTGATAGCACATAAAGACAAATACACAGAATGGCAGATGTCCCATACCCCCCCCCCTCTATGTCTTACTCGAGATAAAAAACTGGAAAATGTGTAGAATGCCCCCTGTTTCCTCTCCCCACCAAGAAAATTTCATTGAAAGTGTTCAGTTAGGAATGCAGGAGCTGACGCAATAACATGACTCAAGCAAAATTTAAAGACAAAAACAAGGAGAGAGAGTAACCTTGCCACTCTCAGAATATAGATATAGGGATCGAAAAAATAGTTCCGCCTCAGCAATTTGGCTAACTGCAGAAAAATTCATTTATTTTTATTTTCAAAATTAGCCAAAGTATGATTGAAGAATGGACAAGGAATGGAGGATCAAAAAGAAAGAATGAAAAACAAGAAATATAGAAGTCTCAAAATGTTTCCATCTGATATCATATTGAAATTTAAAAATATTGTAAAATTTAATTTAGAGTAGATATACATAGTTGTTTTTTAAACCTGTCTATATTCTAGGGTAGATATAGTTGTTTTATAACCCTGTTTATATTCTAGAGTAGATATAGTTGTTTTATAACCCTGTTTATATTCTAGGGTAGATATAGTTGTTTTATAACCCTGTCTATATTCTAGGGTAGATATAGTTGTTTTATAACCTTGTTTATATTCTAGGGTTGATATAGTTGTTTTATAAACCTGTTTATATTCTAGGGTAGATATAGTTGTTTTATATCCCTGTTTATATTCTAGGGTAGATATAGTTGTTGCCTCGGATATAGTATTCGCTAAGGAGTTGCACCGCCCTCTCACAGATACCCTGGTAGACATCATCAACACCAACTCCTGCCCAGCCTACATTGCATGCACCAGGAGGCAGGAGGAGGGCGTGGTTAAAGCATTTCTTGAGGTAAAATTAAAGAGACTTTGAACGTTCATTGAGGGAAGAGAGCTCTTTGTTTTAATATCTTGAAACCAGGAGGGATGATAGTTCTCTACCTCTGTGCTCAGTTAGCTGTACTGTACACTTGCAACTGTTAACTAATTTTGATATACTATAAGTTAGGCCAGAATCAACTTAAAATAAACAAATATGCAATACGTTCTCGGTATAGTAAATTGCCTATAAAATTTGTAAAGGATTAGTTTACATCATCACTCTATACACTATAATCTCGTTGCTTGGAACCCATTTGAATCCCTCTAAATCTTGGTGAACAGTTTGACCCCAAAACAGCTGATGCAGCTTCTTGTGTAACAAATTCTCTAATAATTTAAAACTTAAACAGCTTGCAAACAAAGTGTTCAAAATCAGAGGCGTATTCGGGGGGGGGGGCTATGGGGGCTAAGCCCCCCTCTGGACCAGTGAAATCTATGGATTTCAGCGGGTTTTCAGGCACCAACGGGTGCTGAGCCCCCCCCCCTGGAAAGAAAAAAATTAACCCCCCCTGGACAAATTCCTGAATACGCCCCTGTCAACAATTAAGATCAATGAGAATAATTTCAACAATTTTCAAATTTCAGTCGAAGGTTCTTTTGGTACTGTTGTAAATCGGGCATAGCCTGCTAGGAGGGTCACTAGAAATTACGCTTACAGTCCCTTTAAAGGGATTTTCTAATAATTCTGCTTAAAGCAACTATCAACGTATTTTCAAGGGACCCTTCATTAAAATATTAAAGTATCAGATTTACATACTTTTTTAATATAATAATGATGAATTATTTTTAATTTTCCTAATCAAAATTGAATAATGTTCAATTTCTGTGTCTCTCTTCAAGTGACTTGAAGACGTATTGTGATAATTAAAACAAAATGTAAACAAATTTCAAAAGAAATCAGTTCTTTCTTAGACATTTAACCATATATATAACAATATAACAGAAAAGACGAAAGTTCTGACAAGTTTGATTCAAATTAGCGTTGGTCAACAATTTTGAATTTTTTCTCAAGTGAGAAGTTCTTGACTGAAACCAGCAGATTTAACGTACAAAAGTTCCTTTTTTTATTTTTTTTATGCTAACTTTATTTTACTAGATGGTAGAGGAGAGAGGTTTAAGCTCTGAGATAGTTTACGATCGTGTATACTCCCCAGCAGATGGGATAATCGCTCACTATGAAGGACTTCACCCTGTAAAGGTCATTTTGATATTTTAAAATTTAAAACTATTTTGGAAGAGAGACGTTTTTTCAGTTAGAAATTATGTTTGTTTCACGTTCAATAAATTATCAAAGTTCTAATTTCTAATTAAGAATGATTTTAATGTGTTCGTTAAAGAGAGTGACCGGCAATGTAAGGTGGTTGAACTGAGTATACAGTGTTGTTGAAAATTCTTTCGGATTCATTGAGACATATTAAACTTTTTAAAGATCTGTAAATCCTGAGTTTGAGCAATAATTCGACGTTCATAACTCTTACTTTGGGGTTGGATACGTTTTCAGAATTAGCTTTTTAAAACTATTAAATAACGACGACATGTAAAATGTAAAAAAGTTCTACAATAAACTACAGACGTCATGTTTAGGAACATGTTGAGAAAATAGAAATTAATCTTATCATCGAAAATAAGTAATCTTGTTCAATTATTAGTTTCTATTTTCTCGCTATTCTGGTTTCTCATTATTCACAAAGATTTTTTGCAGATATTCTAGAAATAATCGATTTTGGCATTGATTTCTTGACAAATTTCTTTTGAGAAATATGTTCCTAATCATCTATTTAGATTACTGTATAATTTTTACGTTATTTTTCGTTGTCGTTATTTAATAATTAAAAAAAACTAATTCTGAAAACGTATTCTGAAAAGCAGGAGTTTTGAATGTCGAATTTGCGCTCAAACTCAGGATTTACAGATCTTTAAAAAGCTTAATATGTCTCAAATGAATCCGAAAGAAGTTTTCCACAACACTGCATACTCAGTTCAACTACCTTACATAGACGGTCACTCCTTTTAAGTTTTTCTTTCGAATGTAAAAATCGATCGTTTTTAACACTAACAATCCGGTTCAACCATATTGAAAACCCTGAATTTTCCATAAACAATAGATACATTTACGACTTCATTCAGCCTTTTCATTTTTTAAAGAGAAGACAAATTTCATACAGTGAAACCCTTAATAACGAATACATCGAAAGAATCCATCAAATGTCGTATTCTTCACTCTCTGATAATGGAATGTTGCAGATATTTACTTTTTAATCAAATGATTATATGAACTCTTAAAAACTGTTCCCGCATATTCATGGCTATTTATTTTTTCTCGCAAATTCTGAAATTTACGTAATATAGAATAAAACTCTTTGAAAAATTGTCAAGACGACATTTAATAAATTCTTCCGATGTATTCGTTATTAAGGGTTTCACTGTATGATAGCTAACTTGTCATAAATAAAGGGTTTGTATAAGGCCGATGCATCGTTTAAAATGCCAAATTAAATCAAATCTGACATAATTTTACTATGTTTGTAATAAATAGTGCAATCTCCATTTTTGTTAACCTGAACATACTTAGATATATTACATTGTCTGTAAATCTAAAGCGCTTATCATTAACTACGCAAAACTTGTAATACTTATTAACCTAGCCTAGCTACATCTGTAAATATCTTTTCTAATCTTGTAAATGTGTAGATTAAAGTTAATCTGTAACATAGATATCTAAATACACATATTAAGTTGGTATAGACTCCGCTTTGATTATGGTGAGTGTGCATTTTTAGCGCAATGCAGGAAGCGCTCTGGAATTTCTAGCCTTATTACACACGCACATTTAAAAGTCAACGCTGTATTTAGCATTTATTGAGCAAATTCTTCTTACAGCATCCAAAGTGGTGGAAAACTGAAAAATAATCACATTAGTTTTATAAAATTATAATTACAAAAAATAAATATTTTCTCCAAAATAAGCTTTGTGCATTTGTTTGTAGTTAGACAATCTTCATTTGCTTTCAATTGAACTTTAGTTTCTTGCTTGATAGTTTTCATTTCTTTTTCAGTAGAAGTTTCATCATCTTCAAATACTTATAAAAGAAATACTCACTTGTGGGCTTTTCCAGGTTTAGTTTAGTGCTCTTTTATATCCTGCAGTTTAGGCTCTCCATTAGTTTTAGCTTCTCTTGAAGTTTAGTTGAACTTTATATAGCTTGGACACTAAACAATGGTCTTCAAGAGATTCAAGAGTAGGCGTAGCTCTGTTGCGTAGAGTTCTAGCTATAGCTGTGATTGAAATCTTTCCCCATTTATCCAGAAAGAATCAAACACAGAGTTGGCAGCAATCATCCTGTATAGGATAATATTAGTCTGTGCATAAACAAGATATATGCAAATATCAAATAAATCACGCATAAACAAAGTGATAAATTAGCAACAATCCAGAGGATAAAATGCCATGCGTACGACAGAGATGGTGCTTTGTGCTCATTATCTCAAGACCTCTAAATTTATACCTGTCTGCATATCTATATATATATTATCGTTGGGTTCAGCTGTTTCCAGATATCAGAGTCGTAACTCTGCCTGAACAAAGACTAATGTTAATGTGTTCTCAAGTCCCTATCTCTGGGACTAGAAGAGTTTGGGTTCCACATATCATTGTTTAATGAATGGCTTTAAGAATTTCAAATACCTTTTAATGCTCTGGTTTATCTTGACTCAGGGCAGGTATTCTTGGATAAGCAGGTTGGTGCCCATGGTTTCAAGTGAGGTTTACATTCTTGTATTCAACTTCTGCAACATGAAGAATTGAATATTTATTGTTTCTCCGTTCTTGATTATTTATTTGGATAATCACATTTTCTTTTCTTGATAAAATATCATTCAGGAAGATCAACTTTTGTCCGGTGTTCCTGCAATCAGAACAAGTTTTATTAGATTTTACAGTGAGAGAGCAATCATTCCTTGTTTTAACAAACGATTTGAGTAGATCGTGCCCATTGTTTCGGCATTGATAGCGTACAACCTAGTGTTCGTGTTGACATCTATAGCTGACGATATCGTGCCCATTGGTTTGGCATTGATAGTTTACAAGCTAGTGTCTGTGTTAACATCTACAGCTGACAAGATCGTGCCCATTGGTTTTGCATTGATAGTTCACAACCTAGAGTCCGTGCTGACATCTACAGCTGACAAGATCGTGCCCATTGGTTTGGCATTGATTGTTTACAAGCTAGTGTCCGTGTTGACATCCATAGCTGACAAGATTGTACCCATTGGTTTGGCATTGATAGTTCATAACCTAGTGTCCGTGCTGGCATCTACAGCTGACAAGATCGTACCCATTGGTTTGGCATTGATAGTTCACAACCTAGTGTCCGTGTTGACATCTATAGCTGACAAGATCATGCCGATTGGTTTGGCATTGATTGTTTACAAGTTAGTGTCCGTGTTGACATTGATAGCTGACAAGATCGTGCCCATTGGTTTGGCATTGATAGTTTGGAGCTTGTGTCCGTGCTGACATTGATAGCTGACAAGATCGTGCCCATTGGTTTGGCATTGATAGTTTACAAGCTAGTGTCCGTGTTGACATCTATACCTGACAAGATCGTGCCCATTAATTTGGCATTGATAGTTCACAACCTAGTGTCTGTGTTGACATTGATAGCTGACGAGATCGTGCCCATTAGTTTGGCATTGATAGTTTACAAGCTAGTGTCCGTGTTGACATTGATAGCTGACGAGATCGTGCCTCAAGCTAGCGTCCGTGTAGACATCGATAGTACAGTGAAACTGAGTTATACCTGGATAGATACGCGTGTGAGAAAACCTTATGGAGTAGGGCATTTACTACATTTTTGTATAACTGCTTAATATTGTCTCTTTTCAATTTGAGGCTGAATAGCATTCCTATATCTTGAAAATTGGAGAACGAATAAATGGGAGAAGTAATCTAGCTTCATCCCTTCAGAGATTTTTTAGTAAATTAAAATAATAAATACAAGCAAGGACAAAGAAGTTGAGTCTTTGCCACAAACTCAAATTTTCTAATCCCTAGATCTTTGCAACCTAATGGTGTATACCTAATATATTTTAAAATTAGATTATATGATCTAACAGAATTCATATTTTGAATATCCAGGTCTATAACATTGAATGGTAAAGATGTAGGGATAAGAAAATCAGAGTTTGGGGCAAAGACTCAACAACGTCCCACTGGTGTACTTATGAATATCCAAGCTGGGCCAACCTTTTTGCTTTGGACTGTAGCGCCAATTTACAATTACTAAAGCGGCAGGGAGTGTGCAATTCCTTTCTAAAGAATTTATTTTTAGTAAAATACCATCAGGTTGAAAAGATAAGGCGATTGTAAAATCAAAATTTGTGGCAAAAACTCAGTTTCTTTGTAATATTAAACTAAATAAATTTGATTTTCACATTTTTATAAGTAAAATCAAATCTGGAAGAACTAGTAGGTCACAAAGTCGTACCAAAAATGTTGCATTGATTTGACCGTTTTTTTTCTAGTATTGTGTGCAAGGTGTAATATATTGAAGAATTAAATATACAAAAAATATTTCTTTTTATTACCTTCAAGAATAGTACAAACCTTCCCCCCAAACAAGTTTTAAATAAAAAGGTTAATAAATTACAAAATATAAATATGGTTTTTCTTATTTTCATATATTTACAAACTACAATTTTTAAACGACTATTGATTGATAGATACATGCTTTTAATGAAGATAATCATTTTTCCTAATATTCTTCTTTTCTGTCAACTCTCACATAGATTCAGCCTGCTAATAAAAAGTCTCATCAATTTTGAAGACTAGGTCGACTTTAAAGTGTCGCAACGCCTTGGGCTTGGATTTTAACGCTCTAACTCATTTACGCTTTTTACATTTGAGCACTCTAAAGCACTTGTTGTTAGCTTTAGTTTTTAAAAAGTAATTGGCAAAATACTCATCGATTTTTGCTTAGGAGCATGACATCTTTAAATCACAGTGCTCTGTTGACTTATTTACTTTATTTAACTATGTTGTATTATCTGCATACANATGCAGTTCTGAACACAGCTGATAAAGTAATATGTATTTCTCATTCTGAATGGTATGCTCATCATGAAGCTGACGTTGTCAAATTTTAAAACTGGATTATACTCTGCTCCATCAAATTTTATGTATCATGAAAAAAAGTTCAATAAATCTCCATGACCTATTGCTGTAGTAAGTACCGTACTCTTAAAACTTCGTCCCAAACTGTATCAGTCCAGGTACAACCGGTCCACTGTCAAAATCAACCAGGACAAGATTCACACGGCTACGATTCCGTGAACTATCAGCACCACTACCACTGGGCGCGATCTCGTAAGCTATAGGTTTCAATACGGACACTAGCTATTAATCGAGCTCTAAATGCAAAATGGAACAAAAGCATAGCTATCAAACAAGCTATTACTCCAGCTCTAAATGCACACAGGAACACAAGCGTATCTATCAAACAAGCTATTAATCGAGCTTTAAATGCCACACAGGCACACAAGCGTAACTATCAAACAAGCTATAAATCAAGCTCTAATTATGCCACACAGAGACACAGGCATAGCTATCAAACAAGCTAAAAATCAAGCTCTAATTATGCCACACAGGAACACAAGCGTAGCTATCAAACAAGCTATAAATCAAGCTCTAATTATGCCACACAGGAACAAAGCGTAGCTATCAAACAACCTGTAAATCAAGCTCTAATTATGCCACACAGGGACACAAACGTATCTATCCAACAAGCTATTAATCGAGCTTAAGATGTCACACAGGGACACAACCAGCCCTTAATCGACCTGAACCAAGTGCCTGAGGTACGATGTCAGCCCTATATATGACTCAACGAGGACACAATTACTCTACACTGTAATCAAAGTGGAGTTCTAATTCTAACTAATGTAACTAATGTAAAGTTAATTTACGTAATTACAATTCCTAAGTCCTTATTTATATCACATGACTAAGGCAATCATTTTACGTATTACAGCACAGTTAGAAATAGTCGCAATTAAAGATATACGTAATTATATATCACATGATTAAGCTAACCATGCTACACATTCATTTGGAATGCAGTTCAAATGAAAAATGGTTTTTACGTATAAGATTTCAAACATCGATCATTAATAATGTACAATGTACTGCAAATTTACAGAATATCGTATTACCCGATATTTATTAAATAGCTGCATTCAGCCAGGTTCAACGTGGTTAATAATCAAGTAAAAAATGTAATGTTTTTAAATTTGTCCTGTTTCCATTTTCAGTTTTCAGTGGAAACAGTTCCGGGCCATATACTACAGGGTTTTAATGACAGGAAATTGAGAACATAAATTTCAAGAATAAAAATAAAGGAAATCCTAATGTGAAACCTTATTACATTTCAAAACTTATATCTTTCTGCTTTTTCCCTCTCCTTTTCTGCACTTTTATTTCGTAACACAAGTAATAATAGCAAACAAATTTTAACTTAATATAAAACATTTTTTCCTTTTCACATTTACCTACATGGGACCCATCAAATAGAAAGAACACAAGAAAACACGAAACGTTTAAACATTTGATAAAATCCTGAAACTATGAGTTTTTCAGAAGAGATTCAAATCTAAACGAAGGGCTAATCCCCCCAACCCCTGTATTGTCAAAGAAGGTTAAGACCCCCCTGGACAAATTTCTGTATACACCCCTAAACATTATATCCATGCATTTTTTATTAACGAAATGTTCATTTATGAAATGTTCATTAATGAAATGTTCATTTCTGAAATGTTCATTTCTGAAATGTTCATTTATGAAATGTTCATTTATGAAATGTTCATTTTTGAAATGTTCATTTCTGAATTGTCCATTTATGAAATGTTCATCTATTGAATGTCCATCTATGAAATTTCAATCAATTAAATGTCCATATATGAAATATCTATCTATGAAATGTCCATCTTGAAATATCCATCTATGAATTGTTCATCTATGAAATGTCCATATATGAAATGTCTATCTATGAAATCTATCTATGAAATGTCCATCTTGAAATATCCATCTATGAATTGTTCATCTATGAAATGTCCATATATGAAATGTCTATCTATGAAATGTCCATCTTGAAATATCCATCTATGAAATGTTCATTTCATCTATTAAATGTTCATTTATGAATTGTTTATTTATGAAATGTTCATTTATGAATTGTTCATTTATGAAATGTTCATTTATGAAATGTTCATTTAAGGGACTGTAAGTGACCTTCCATTTTTAAAAGATTTACAACTATAACCATTAAACCTTTTTTTGACATAGGATTTTGTAGATATTCTTAATTATATAGCGGGAAATTAAGTGCCAAGAAGGCGCTAGTGTACACTAGGATGGAGTGTACAGTGTACACTGTAACCTCGAGTTTCCGGCACTCAATCTTCAGGCTTTACAAATGAGGGTATTTCCCACATCGATGTCCGTACAAAGGTTTAAAGGGTACCGTTGTGAATCGGAAATGTCTCGCTTTAATTGAAAGGTCACTTGAAATTATGTTTACAGTCCCTTTAACGCATCAGGTCAGGTAAATCCTTTTAAAATGATTTTGTTGAACTATAATTGAGTTCCAGAAGCTAAATAAGGTTGAGTGCAGTAATAAGAGTTTCTCTATGAAACTAATTCAAACTTTTTCATTTGGTTTAGAATCAGGTCCAAACCTAATTTTTGTGAAATTTCCAGAACTTTTCTGAAAGGGACTGTACACGTAATTTTTAGTGACTCTTCTGTTTAAGACTGATATATCCGATTAACAACGATACCCTTAACAACTCTGTATGTTCAAGAACAAATCAGATAGCTATGATGATTCAACGTTGAACATTCATTATTTTGGTGGTTTTTCTTTTAAGCGACTTACAGATTTCTCTTCTTTAGAAACAAAGTTTGACCTTTAAAGCTAGAAAAATGACGATATCTTCCATACGTTTGATCAGATAAAGTTTTAGATGGTTAGTTTGTGAATCAGACATGCTCGACTTTTTTTAAATTTTCTTCTTTTGATTCTAAACTGAATAAACTTTAATTAGCTTTGCTCATGATTTTAATGACGGATCAAACCTTGACAGTCCTTTAATCTGGATATACTAGCTCTGGATATACTAGCTCTGGATATTCTAGCTCTGGATATACTAGCTCTGGATATAATAGCTCTGGATATACTAGCTCTGGATATACTAGCTCTGGATATACTAGCTCTGGATATACTAACCTTTAATAAATTCATTAAATTTAATCTCAATATTTCATTTTATTCAAGTAATCAGTTTTTCAATTTTTTTAGAATTTTCAAAAAATTTACACGATTTTAAAATTAACTTATCTCTACAAATCACAGCGTGATAGATTAGTGGTATTTCACTCAAAAGTTTTGACCCTAACAGTGCCATTATATATTTGCGCCATCACTTAAGGTTACGATTTCTTGAAATTTGTCTTTAAACTTGCAGTTTAAATAAAATATAACTGGGCATCAAGATATCACGAAATATTTAATTCTAAAATATTTAAATATTGATTCATACGTCATGACGTCATCCTGTCACAAAAACTACCAAAATAATAATTAGTTAGAAATTGAGTAGAAAATATCAAATTAAAGCTTCAATTTCGTTTTGAAATAAACAACAAAAATTCGTTTCTTTCTGTGAAAATTCGAAAATCATCTTGGCAAAGAGATGAGAAGTATGGTTTAAGATATGAGAAGTATGGTTTAAGAGATGAGAAGTATGGTTTAAGAGATGAGAAGTATGGTTTAAGAGATGAGAAGTATGGTTTAAGAGATGAGAAGTATGGTTTAACAGATGAGAAGTATGGTTTAAGTCAAAACAATATTACATGAATGTTTTGAAATCCAAAGCTTAACCATTATTACAAAAAATTTCAGAAAAAATATTGAATAATATTACTCAAATCGTTTTACCTTTAAAGAAACCCAGAGGCCGAATTTAAAGCATTTAAACCGCGTCGCTGAACCGCCAATAACCGGTTAAAGTTGAGCGCCGGCTCAATGTACACAATGTGTACACTGTGTACTATACTAGACGGGCTGGTACGACCAAACACTACACCAGGCAATCCTTGCACTGGCCCGGACCATGCAAATTTTTGAACTTATGTGGTACATGTAAGCCGTAAAGTACATATTGACAATGAAACAAAATGGCGGGTTACAATTTTATTTATCTTTATTAATTCCCCTCTGTTAGTTTCTCTCTTCTATTAATATCTTTACTCTATGGATAAACCATCTCCCTTCTCCCCAGTGCTTTAACAATACAAACAGAAGGAAGCTATATTAATAACGAAGTTGAGCTGAAATGCCGGGAACAAATTTAATCTTCAACTTGAAACTTTCAACATGTTTCCTCATTGTTTCACATCTTCATCAGTGTATAGTTTTTAAAGAACAGAAATATCAGCTAAGGAACTGAGTTTTTGCCACAAACTCAAATATTCTTATCCCTATATCTTGGCTGCCCAATGTCGTAGATCTTAGTTAGTTCGTACTGTTAATTCTGTTAGATCAAATAATCTAAGTTTTAAATATCAAAGGGCCAAACCCACTGGTTGCAGAGATATAGAAATTAGAAAACTTGAGGTTGTGGCCAAAAACTCAATTCCTTTATCACTTCATGAGACCTCAGTTGCAAACCAAGATTTGTCCCATTTCTGTTAGAATTGAGCCCTAACCCTGGTTTGGAACTAGCGCACCCTCCCCTGCACAATAAGTATTTAAACTACTCTTTATTTTATTTTATTTTATAGCTTTTTTTGTACTATGTTAACCACTAAGGACGAAACTTCAAAGACGACTGTACGGAATATAGTTTTATTCATTTTCATGGTTTTCCTGCAGCTGTAAACATGTTTATAATTAACTAAAAGACTATATTTCCAGCAAAAATAACCATATTTAGCTTTGAGTGCGTTGTATTATAAAGGTCATAAAATAACTTACGCTTTGTGGGCGTGGTTAACACTGCAGTATTTTGGGCGTGGTTAACACTGCAGTATTGTGGGCGTGGTTAACACTGCAGTATTGGCAATTTTAATTCATATCTTTTTTAAGCTATTTAAAAAATTATACTTTATGCTGAAAAATCAAACAGATTTTTATCCTTTTTTACAAATTAACAACTGAAACCGATGTTAACAGTGAATAGTTTTAAGATTGAAAAATAAATCAATATTTAATCTGTTTAGGTTTTCAAGATACATCAAGATAGTCTAAGAACTGAGAAACCATCAAAGGGAAAAGTTTATTTCTAAGAATTGTTAAATTCTGTTTCTGAAACTTAGCAAAAACCCTTTACAATCATTGTTTAATGTTTTCAATAAAAAAATAAATATGAACAAAATTATTTTAACAGAAATTCATGATCTAATATTATTCGTTTTTTGTCAATTTCCTGAAGTCGACAGTCGACACTGTAAATAATTGCTAAATGTGATATTTTTCAACTTTATTATTTTTATTATTGATTAAATGATTAAAATCATATTTCTCTAACAAATTTGATATGCTAACAGTCATATCTCCAGTTCTAAGCGAGCTTTAGAAAAGAAAAAAAATATTTCTAGAATCCTCCAATCAAAGTAAAGACATTCTTTTTCATACCTTTAAAATGTAACTTGAGTACTGAAGGTATTTAAATGGCGCGAAGTATTTTCTATTAAATATTTAAACTTAGCAGATTTCGTTCGTAGGCTCGCATGTTCGTAATTCTTAATTGTGAAGTGCAAGTTGGTGGGGTTATTGAGCGCAAAGTTATATTTCCACTGTTATGAAAAAAAAACTTATGGACCTTTTTATCTAACTAGTACATCTTTTAGTACACAACCTTGTTAATTAATTGTTAATTTGGTTGTAAAATAATTATTATAAAGAAAGTTTTTTGTTCAAAGTTAAATTTTGACTGCTTAGTTTAGATGAATCAAAATTCTATTTCATCATAAAAATGGGTAAAAAACATCAAATCAAGCATACTATTAACTAATAACTTATTGTTACTTCTGCAATAAAAAAACTTTATTAGAATGTTTGAAAATCATTGAAAATTCTAATTTATTGAATATTAACCTTTAATAATCTGTTAAATCCGTTCCAATAAACTTACAATTAAAAGTTTATAAAGAGACGGAATTTTTTTAGAATATATGCAACTTAGATAGTTGAACTTATATGTACCCAAAACACAATTACAAATGTACATTTATGTATCAAATTGAGTTTACTTTAAGAAAACAGTTTAGGCTTACGCCCTTATAACACCACCACCTTCTTACACTTTGGAGCCCTGCATACGGGCTGTAAAGTAAATTCGGAGTCCTGAAAAGTAAATTCGGAATCTTAAAAAGTAAATTCGGAGTTCTGAAAAGTAAATTCGTAGTCATGAAAAGTAAATTCGGAGTCCTGAAAAGTAAATTCGAAGTTCTGAAAAGTAAATTCGGAGTCCTGAAAAGAAAATTCGGAGTCCTGAAAAGTAAATTCGGAGTCCTGAAAAGTAAATTCGGAGTCCTGAAAAGTAAATTCGGAGTCTTGAAAAGTAAATTCGGAGTCCGGAAAAGTAAATTCGAAGTTCTGAAAAGTTAAACAGTTTTGAATGTTTAGAAACGAACCAGTAAACTATAGTCCATCTCAAAATACAAATATAAGATGACACCTAACCTTATGTTCTATAATACTGCATAAATGATATTCAAAATGTATTCATTTTCATTTTCAAATTCTGTTTAAAAAATGTTTTTGAAAAAGAAACTTTGATCACAATTAGGTATTAAAAAGGCATTAAAAAGACAACAATTCCATTTTTTTTCCTTTCTTTTTTCTCTTTCATTTTTTTTTGACTTGCTTCCCACTCAACTTAAATCCCATGCAGGGTAGGGGGATGGGGTAAGAATAATATTCACCCCTGTCTTTTTGATAATGGGATCGGCACGTCCAATATCAATAAAAGTAATCTAATCTTAAATAAAAGTATATATTTGGGTTAAAGGGAATGTACGAATAATTTTACGTGAATAATAAAAACTATATCTAATACTTCAATATAATATGCTACTTTAAAAATCATCCAAATTGTCTCTAGATTTGATGGTTTAACCGTTTTGCATGAACACTATAGATCTAGGCTGCTATGAAAAGTTGAATCAAGTTTTAAGATTGGGTTGACTTTCCTCAACGACTTTTGCAACGATTTGGCCTTTGATTTCACATCACTCACTTTTTTAGAAATGCTGAACAGATTGTTCGGGATATCTCATAAATTTAAAAACTATAGCATTCTGTAAAGTTATCTTGAAAAATAAATTTCATTTTAAAAATCGGGATAACTTCTATTTTAAGAATAAAATGTTAAAGTTTCTACAATCAGATGTTAAGAGGAAATTAAGATAAACTGAGATACAGGGTTACCCACAAAGGATGAGACTTCAGAGACGAGTTTACGAAATTTATACTGTTTGTTTAATCCTTATATTTATGATTCCTTGCAATTATAAACTTGTTTCTTTCTTTGTCCAATCATTAGATAAACTGGCAATAGAGAATATTTCTATTTTATATTTATATTCAAGGTACAGGATATAATTCAAACTTTTAATATTTATATTTTAGTTCATTTTTTAATTCTCATCCTGTAGCTAAATTAGGAGAAGATGGGGGGGGGGGGGTAGAATTCAGCTATGAAAGAAGAAGTTTGTATACTATGATAAAGAAATATTCTGAATACATTCTGTAAAACCTCCGGGTTCCTTGGCTAAATCCTTCTTGCAAAATATACATTCACTAGAATATACAAAAATATTCAGACCCTTATATGTCTATTTATTAACAGTGTCGAACTTATATATTCAAATATATAATCATATCTTTATCTGCTATAGGTTCAGAATAGTAAAACGTCCTTTTTACATCGCATATATCTGTTTTTAAATTTAACAACATCTTTATTTAAATGTCAGGTACAAGGGAAACAGCATGTTTTTTCATCTTAATTATTAATTAATAAATTACTCGTCTTAAAATACAATGTTTTATTCCCTATATTGAACCAACCTAATAGTCTAATCTTGTTGATCCATCAGAATTAATAATATGAAATATTAAAGGTTCCATTGGGTTGCAAAGATATAAGGAGTTCACATAGATCCAGATTGCTATGAAAAATGCATCCATTTTCAAGACTGTGTCGACATCAAGTAAGTGAGTTCACCTCAATAACTCAGTTTTGTAGCCCTAGACATGCTAATTTCAGAACTTTAAAGCAACTGTTTTTAGATTTAAAAAGTGAGTGAATCTTATCACTTTAAAGGGACTGTAGATGTAGTTTCAAGTGTTTTTAACTTTAATAATTTATTTTTGGATAAGGGCTGTGGGCACAAAATCACGCATACAAATAAAACGAAATATCAATAAATCTATTTCCAGTTTGATATCAAGGTCTTTCTATTATTTTGTTCTTCTCAAGATTAGTTAAAAGTCATACACCCCAACGTTTTGTGTTGTGCCATTGTCTTAAAAACTTGACTATGGGTAACCCTGTAAACCATAGTGAACACTTATTTTGCGCGGGCTGATCTTGCTTCCTTTTTTTCCCTTAGGCTTAACTATTTGGGTTGGTTAATAATATGATTTTTAATAATCGCATGAAGCGTTGATTTGCCAATGACTAGTAGAAAGCTGGATTTTCAAACATAATTTAGTTATGTTCATTTGTCCTTTTCTCAGTCAGTCATGAAAAGTAAAAAGAAAGAAATAAGAAAATTTTTTTTTTTTCCTTTTAAGAATTGATTTTGTTTCTTTTGTCTTTTCTGTTCATCTTACCTTTCCTATCTTTTTTGTTCTCTTTGTTCACTGGCTCCGTAAAAAATTCTCTCTCAAATTCTCCTACTTAACTTTTCCTTGCTTACTAGTGCTATCCTTTCTGCACTTTAATTGGATCAGCCTGTGCAAATGTCATGTTCATCAGTGCCCATCATTAGTCTATTGCTTGACAAAAAGTAGTTTCAAGTGTATTTTGATTCACAACGGTACCCTTTAAACTTTTTGTCTCATCAAGAATCAATGAGATATCCATATTTTCTAGCTGAATCTGTAGTTTCCCTATAAAAAAGATTGGAGGATATTTCAAGTTATATAAACAACGATATCTTCCACATTCCATATTGTTTAAAGGTTTCCGTTGTGAATCGGTCTTTGCCCTCTTGAAATGCAAGGTCACTAGAAATTAAATTTGATTAATGTTTTTCCTTGAAAAAGTTGCAAAAAATCAAAAAGAAATCGAGTCTTTGCCACAAACTCTGATTTTCTTATTACTATATCTTTGCAACCAACTCTTGTAGACCGTAGATATTTCAAACTATGAACTCTGTTATACAACATAATCTCAGTTTAAAATATCAAAACTTTATACCAGAGATCCGAGTTTGTGTCAAAGACTCAATTCCTTTGTCCCGAAAAAAAAGATTTATTCATGTTTTGAAAATTCTCAAATAGTGAATTTTAAATTTTGCTAAACTTTATAGTTATTGTTGTTAAATAGAGTTTAAATATGTCAACTGTTGAGTGTTGCTGCTGATTCAACATTGCATTTATGCATAATTGCATTTATTGACAATCTCACCGGGTTAAACCATTTTCAAGGGACTATTTACCTATTTCAAACTATTCATAACTATAGCTTGAGAACCCAGCGTTGCCCATGGTACTCATAGTTAGTCCCGCCGTTTACCCGCACTTGGTCGTAAATTAGGTATTTTTCCTTATAAATCTAGACCCACTCAACTTAAAATCTTAGCCAAGCTAAGAACATTCCTGTGATTCTCTCGAGTTCCCCAATCAAAATTTGAGGCAAATCGGTCAAGGGGTTCGTAAGTTATGATCGACATACAAACAGCAAACAAAGATTACAACTGTATATATATATATATATATAGATACTAGAAAGTTAAATTTCAAAAATTATCAAAAATTATTACTTTAAATGTATTTAAATACGAACATAAATATTCTGGTGTAAAAACCCAGCAGGAATTATGATGTAGACAAGTACTCTTTTAAACCTAGAAATAACCTAACATTTTGTGTCTTAAAAATTGCGCAAATTCAGCGACTGTTATATTTTCCTCAAATTGAGTGTAGGAACTGGGTGTCCAACAAAATTCCAGAACCGAAAACATATTGGTGGTTGTCGGGATGTCCAAAAAACTTCTCTTTCAAATTTAGCCAAGATCATGATGGAAAAATTGAAGCACAGGAAAAGAATATTGGAAAACAAGAGTGCAGTAGTGCAGAAAATTAAGTACAATAAGAGCACCCTGTTTAATTTCTTTGACCATCATCTATTTAATCTAGACATAT